TATACGTGAACAGTAACTTCGGGATTTCTATAAATAGGTCATTTGGGTTCTTTCATTTGTACACTTTCAAGAGAGAAATCAATAAGAAATACATCTTTCTCCATTCTCCCAAAATACTCTTTAAGGCGGCACAGCCGTCCAATAACGAATAAATATTTAAGGCGGCATAGCCGTCCAGATTAACAATTAAGGCGGCAGAGCCGTCCATAAATAGTAATAATAAAGGCGGCATAGCCGTCCATGAATAATAATCGAGGCGGCATAGCCGTCCATAAATTAATTATAAAGAATATCGGTATTCATATATAGCTTGGGGTAATTCCACTCAAGCATCAATGAATACATATATATATATATCATAAGATTGAAAATATTTGTATTAAAGATAAGTTATCTTACCTTTAGTTATAGAAGAGCGCTCGTGCTGATAACGTGTTATGAATTCGGAGAGATATAAACGACCCGGATATTAGATCGTTTAACTATAACCGAAAAGAGTATTTTGGGAGAATGGAGAAAGATGTATTTCTTATTGATTTCTCTCTTGAAAGTGTACAAATGAAAGAACCCAAATGACCTATTTATAGAAATCCCGAAGTTACTGTTCACGTATACGGTCGGTGTGAACAATACCGTATATATGAACAGTAAGTCGGTGTGAACAGTAACGGTGGGCTCCACCATAAATATATTTTATTTATAACAATTATTATTATTATTATTATTATTATTATTATTATTATTATTATTATTATTATCGCAAAAAATATTTTTATTTAATAAAAAGCCCGAAGCCCGGCCCGAACCCGCCCGAAACCCTGTAGGGCCGGACTCCGGGCCATCGATCCTAGACCCAAAAAATAAATGGACGGGCCGGCCCGACCCGAAAAATTCTAGACCCGAATTGAACCCGACCCGAACCGCCCATTTTACACCCCTACACAGAAGCAAACAGAGACCACATCACCTATAAACCACAAATCAAGTACCCTCGCCATACACGTCCATTTTCCAACAACATACAACGCCACGCATACATCCATACACACATACATATATATATATATACATACACATACACAAGCTTTTCAAATGTAATCAATTTTCCTTATCCAAACAGCTAAATCCATAGTTGTCAACTAATGTAAGCTCTTCTTCTTCGTCATGTTCTACACTTGGTCTGAGCTTTCTCCTTCTGCCATCATCAACGTTACATTTCTTCAGAAAACCATTCAGAAGAAAGTTTTCAAGGGTTTAGAAGAAATGGCCATACCTTCACCAAATAATCGCTCGAACCGAACAACGATGTGTTTTCCGTATGTATATTTCCTCAGAGATTCGAGATGAACTTTTACCCGTTGCACCAAAACCTCCCGTTGCCCATCTTTGCTTATCTCTAGCACCTTTTGCACCACGTAGTTTGCAAACTGGTCCTTCATCATCGCCTACAAACAGCGTCAAAAGTGTACGGATCATCCACTGACTGCACGAAAACAGTGCTCACGCAATGTGCTTTAAAGGTTTCGTCCTGTCACGGGCGGACGCGGGCCGGGTACCCAGCCTCACGCTCGGCCCAGGCCTCGGACTCATGGGAATCCGGGTACCCGCAGGGTGCGGTGGGGGCTCGGGTACAAGCGTGGTAGTCAACAGGCGAGGCGAGAGGATGAGATGCTTATCTGGTCTGAGGAGTGCGAGGCAAGGCGAAGGCGCGACGAGGGCGAAATCACTTCTCTCCAAAATGTCTGGATGATATTTTTTAAAAGAGGAACATCGCTGCCTGGGGTTAGGGGTCGTCGCCTCTTGTCCCCTCGCCCTCGTGGCCTCACCTCCCCTCGCTGACTTTCTCCCTATCCCCTCCACCTCGAACTACTTGCGGGTCCGGGTCGGCTGATAAAATCCGAATTCAAACCCGCAGACACACCCGACCTCGTACCCGCCATGGCTCGGATTCTCGAAATTAGGGTTCGAGTACCCGCGCCCAGCCCTAAAGTCGGGATTATCTTACCAACAAGTGATTATCTTCCTCGGACTTGCCCATGATCTCTTCAATCAGCACTTCTCTCTCGGCATTATCGGCATACTCCAAACACTTCTCCACAACGTTCGATGCATATTTATGCTGACTCATCTGAACCACATTTCCCGTCAGCTTCTTGATGATCTCACTTCTTTCGTCCGGCCTTCCTCTCTCCAAGACATGCTATCACAATCATCAAAACTATGTAAGAACATTATTGATCCGTGGAAGATTTGAGATGGGGCCAGAGACACAGAGAATCCAAACCTGGGTGACATAGTTTCCGTACTGATCATGAGCAAGAACATATGCAGATTCCAAGATTTCGTCGACTATGCAACGCGTTTCCTCGTCATCCGAACAATGCTCCAAGATTCTCTATCGACAAGAAAAACAGAAACCCGTAACAATGAATCTCGGACACGTTAGACCCATTTTTCGTATCGTATATTATTATTACTACCTGAATAACACGGCATCCGTAGGGATGAGTAGAGAGAGTTGAAACTTGGCCACGGAAAGCCGCGATTATAAATCCAATCCTGTTCGAAGGTATAGTCTCTATACATTTCTGGATTACGTGATTCCCGTTTTGATCACGAACGCATCCCATCACATGCCCATCGAGCTCGCTAATGAGTTCCGTCTTCTGGTCAAGGTCGATCACTTCAAGGGCCTAAGAGGAGAAAAATCAATGAACGATACAGCAAATCAGCAAAGAATAATATCAATCGAAGTCATTTTTTCTTATCTAACAAATCAAATGGATTTACCTTTTGTATTACACGACAGCCATACATCTGCATACTTAGAGAAACAATCTGACCAGCAAGTTGATTAACAAGTTCCTGCCTCTGTTCCGGACTTCCGTATTCTAGGAACTGAATTGAAACGTTGTTTATCAACATTATGTAAGAAAAAGATAAACCTTGTTAGATCATTTAAAGAGAGGGACTGAAAAAAAAAACTTACTTTTTGGATGACATAATTTCCGAAGACATCAGTCATCAACTTTGAAGCATGAGGAAGAACTTCGCTGAAGACAGATGCCTTCTCCTCGTCGGTGCAGTGCTCCAATTTCTGCTGAATAAATCGGCTCCCGTGCTGATCCACGCTGAAGTTAAAGAGAAGAAAACTATATCTCATGTAATCTGCGGATTAACGGAACGGATATCCAGTTTAAAACACTACCTGAATTCAAAGATACGGCCAGCAATATCAGACAGCTCGAATTTACGGGCGTTCGGAGATTTAAGTTCGTCGAGAAAAGAATGCCGTTTTAGTTCATCGATGTTGCTGGATCCTCCTCCTCTATGCCCTTGCCATTCGGGGTAAATCCTGATGTTTCTACTTGGCCCTTGATGATACCTTGCCTCACCACGTCTTCCAAGTAGGGCCATTCCACCGACCGGAGATGATGGCAGCACTGGACTGCCGCTAAGTTGCGATCCAAGATATTGAGGAGTGACCCTTACACCCGGTTGCACAGCAAAATAGTTGCTTCCTCCCATTCCCATATGGCGTGGACTTTGTAACCCGAGATTCATATTCATCGGGCTATGCAGGTCTTGATTAGCAGCCATAAACCCGGAGGCTTGATCTTTCTGCCCGAAAGAATCGATGTTTTGGAACGACGAAGCATACGCATCCCCCCCTAGAGCGGGTTGAAAATACTGCATTTGATAAGGATCCACGAGAGAAGGAATGTTTTGTCCAGTTGAGCCACCGGGCTGCCGAGCATTGTAGCTTGAACTAGACGAGACATCGTACGGCATAGGGACGGTTGCTCCATGAGATGGGTATCCCGTCATGTATGGGGGTAGAAGCCCGGTACCGGGAGGGTAACCACTATAATTGTACTGCGGAATGTACATACCCGATGGTTGAAAATTCTGGTAAAACGGGCTATTCATATATGCTGCTGTCGATGTATACAGAGGAGTTGTCAACCGGGGAGACGTGAAGTTTGAATGTATCTCGGGTTTGGACAACTTGGATAGATTCTGTAGCGTGTTTTCCGTGAATCCATACGTCAGTTGTGGTGCACTTGCCTGAAGCTGATGTGACGAAGATGGATATTGTAGAGATAATCTCCTTCCATGAGATTGTTGCTCTTCTTGATTCTTCCTCATTCTAGAATCATTGGATGGAGACACACTGTAAGCAGATAGATCGTCTCGAGTTGTACCGATGGCCTTTGATCTCTCTTTTTGCGGATTAGGCGAGTTTCTTGTTCCATCAACAGAATGTGAGCTCGAAATGCCAGTAAAGGGATCTACAGTAGCATAAAGGGGAAGAGAATCTGTCTCCCTCATCATATTAACCGAGCCTATATCAGACTCGGGTAATCTTGCCGTGTTTTCTGAAGAGATATCTGATGGAATTGCATGGATGTCACAGTCTATCAGCTCTTCCGCTGTCGGATGGTTCTTCCCCGGATGAGGTTGATTGAACACAGGAGACGGTGTACGAGGAAAATCTTCCTACAGATGAAATGAAATTAAGTAAAACACATAGAGATAACAGCCAGGCAAGATAAAGAAAAAACCGATGTTGTAATAAAGAACCATGTACCTGAATCAGATCGACCAAACTCTTGTGACGACCACTGGAAGAAATATAAGACTGCTCTCCCGATGCCTCATCCTCAGGCACCTCCGTATGAGTGGAAAGGGCACTTCGAGAAGAAAGCAAGGGCCTTTTCCCGATTCCGACATTATTGTCAATGGAGCTTGGACTCGAATCATCACCTAACCCACCAAAACGGCGCACCAAATGCTGATTCTCCCGGGAGATTAACGGTGGAGGGAGTCTCGGATTCAGGTTTATATTCGAGAGATAGTAAGCTACATATGCAGGATCACTTCGTATCTCTTCCTCTGAATCGTATTTCTCGATATCTCTACTCAAAACTGTAGAGCTACCTTCTTGTTGTTTCAAGAGATTCCGAAGGGCGGCAAAAGAGCCCTCCATGCTAGGCGGAGCACTGCCACTACGACTCGGGATATTTTCCGCACGATCTTCACGTAATCTATGCCTTTTCATCAGATACCCTAAGTCTTCAACCGCCATATCGAGCGAACCAAATACACCGGCCTCCCTGGAAGACGGCCAAGTTATTGTCTGACCACTTTCCACCATTCTCATAGCACTCTGAGTTGTCATCCTTCTAAACACGTCGTTCCCGATACTCCTTCTTGCACCATCAACTTCACAAATTGCTTTTTCTCTGTGCCCGAAAGCAGAATAATCGTAACAGGATACTCTCCTAACATCTGTCACACAAAAAAATCAGGGAAAAAAAAAGAACAACCTTATGAAACCAGTTCCCATCATAAAGCTGTCCTGAGTAGATTATACTTCCATGATTCAAAACTCATTACACATATTTCCCATTTTCAATCTAAATTTCATTCGGTCTATCCTCTATTGGCTGCTATCTTTATAAGTGTCCATGATGTAAACCCATCATCAAGGATCGATTTTCGCAAACTTAGCCCTATATATTCCACACTTCAATCTCAATTTCTAAGCTAAATTCAGTTCCCAGCTTCAACTTTCACGTCATAGTTACCGTGATTCGCTTCAAATTCCTTTCAACCACTGCGTCTCCTCAAATAACTTGCTGCTACCAAATGTTTTCTACTGGCTATGCTCTTCAAAATCCAAAAGGCAAAGCAAGAACAGCATATGAATAAAACCAACCACCAAGGATCGATTTTGACAACCTAGAACCCAGGAAAAGGAAATCGAAATTTCAGACAGAATCCTCGTTTCTAAGCTAAAATTCAGTCAACCCACCACCATCAAAAACACAAAAAAAGTCGCCATCTTTAAAACCATTCCAATCTTTTCACTGATTGTTCAACCTCATCTAAGCAGGAAATCGCATGCTTAAACCCATAATCGGGCACGAAATCGAAACAGAGAGGACATCATCCCTGTGTCTCTGTAGTTTTCTTGCATGACTTTTAGAAGACTAATACATACACGAAAGGTCCGCGAGCACTTTTTCACTACGAAAATTAGAGAGAGAGAGAGTACCCAGGTGATGTTACTCAAGCCTCCATCAAAGTGTTCTGAAGAGTTCTCGAAATCAAAAATGGCACGGAGAGAGAGAGAGAGAGAGAGAGAGAGAGAGAGATTAAAACTAAACCCTTTGAAAAGTTTGAGCTCTGAGTGCTTCGAGTCTGAAGTCAGACAATGGTTATTTGGGCAATTATTGAAATGTATCCTTAAATTAATGCGAAATTAATCGGGTTCGATATGCTATTACACCATTATTTATAGTATAAAATATATATAGTCACATAAATGCGTTTGCGGGGAAGATGTGCTATTCCAAATGACGATAATACCCATCCGGAAAGTGTATTAGTCTGAAATATTGGAGGATAGGTTTGTCCTTTGGTGTCATGTTGTTTCCGTCAAAGGGTGACGAGGCTTGCCACGTGTTGGCGCTTCTTCTGTAAGTAGATATTGGACACGTGGCTTTGTCCCCGTTACTGGCATCAAAGCGCAATTTTTTCTGTGATAAAAAAATATTTTCATTTCTTAGACGATTAATCTCCATTAATTCTTTTTTACTATAATCTCATTTAATTATATTTTTATAAAAGATGTTCCTTTTAATAAAAAGTGGCAATAAATCTCACTGAATTATTGTACTTAAGGTATATAATATATATATATATATATATAACGGCAGATATAAATATCAGTAATACGAATTTATTTCAAATTATTAAACGTTATAAATATAGTTCTCAACAAAAAACTACAGGTCCGTCTTATGGGCGAAGCAAGTGTAGTCATTGCATAGGATCTCCAAATTTTTAGGAACGCATACTTAAAAAAAATATTATTGAAAATAAATTATTAAAGTTTAGGATTTAACAAAAAAAAGGAAGGAAAAAGTCGTTAATGTTTTTGGGGAAAATATCAATTAAATTTGACTAATTTATGGTTGAGTCATTTTATATCTTGGTCGATTCAAAATTTGAAATTCACTGAAAGAAAGTAAACCGAATTGGATAAGAAATAGGATTGATTTTGAATCTCTAACTTTTTTTTATCGATAAATACTTATAAAAAAATCTAAAAACATTCAATATACACGAGTATTTCACCTAAAAAAAATAGTATTTATGTATGAATAAATAAAATTCAAATTTAGTTTGTCCTATCTTTTTGTAGCATGATTATCAATGTTTTTTGTTGTGAAGAAATCTTTAATAAAGAAGTAAATTATCAACCGATGTACTCGAAGATAATTAATATTTAGATAAATATTTCTATATGTTTTAGGTGATATATTATATGATTTTTTTGGTGTAAAAAAAAAGAAAAAGGAAATGGAAAAACTCCTAAAAATTCCTGAACTTGCAAAGTGCGAGAAAAAAAATTCCTAAACTTGTGAAGGTGCCAAATAATTCCTAAATTTACAAAAAGTGTCTTAATAAATCTTAATCTTGTTAAAAAGTGTCATATTAGTCCTTCGAAAAAACTGATTACAATAATATAATTTTATATCCTACGTGGCATGTGACATGGCACGCCAAGTGTGATTTTTTGCCACGTAATCAGTACCGAGTTTTAGAAAAAAGAAAAACCCCTAAAAATTCCTAAATTTGCAATTATATTGTTTCCCCTCCATCTGCCTCCTCCTCTACTGCCACCACTATCGCTTCCTCTTCTACTACCGGGATCCCTCAGCCGGTTCCCGACATGCTTCCCCCTCCTCCTCTGTCGTCGCTGCTTCCTCTTCAAAGGGTTGTGACCATGCCGGAGGTCAAGGCGAGATCTGGTGGTCTGTCGGATGATAGATTGGACGGTGCGATAATTGAGGAGGATGGAGCCCTAGATAACGAGGATGAGGACTCTAAATTAGAGAATCGTGACAGGTTATGAGGAAATCGAGCAGTTGGGGAGGGAGTAGCAGAGATAAGAGGATGGAGGAAACCCAAGAGACTCCTCCCCCGTCGCCGCCGTCTGTAGATCCGCTGGAGACAAGAACATCGACACTGTCGTTGCAACTACAACACCAGCATCAGCAACCTTACTTCGATTACTTCTTTCCCATCGTCGAGAGCATGTCAGGAACCACGCTGGAAGAAAACCCACCTCCGCCGCCGCAGCCTCAGGCGAAACCACCACGATTTCTCCGGTTTCTCAAAACAGAATCGCCGGCGATTTTGAAAAAAATAGTTTTCTAAAATCCAATACTGATTACGTGGCAAAAAAAAATCACACTTGGCGTGCCATATCACCTGCCACGTAGGATATAAAATTATATTATTATAATCAGTTTTTTCGAAGGACTAATATGACACTTTTTAACAAGATTATGATTTATTAAGACACTTTTTACAAATTTAGGAATTATTTGGCACCTTCACAAGTTTAGGAATTTTTTTTCTCGCACTTTGAGTAATTTTTTGGAGTTTTTCCCAAAAGGAAATGACCTCTACACTGGATCTTTACAAAACATTCATAAAAACATGTTAACAAAGTTCAATCACAATGTCGGCCATCGCATTTTGGTTTCAGCTTTCATCTCATCAGATAGACAACATCGGATCCTCATATGTGCAAAGAATACTCTAAAACACAACATTCATGGTGGTTCTGTTCCTTAACAGCGAATGTCTCGATGCAAAAGACCGATGTCTCTTTTGTTGTTTCCTCATTACACACTGCTGCGAAACCCTAAAAACTGAAAAGCAATCTCAACAGGCCATCCGATGAATCTCGTGTTCGTTATCAGCACGGGAAAAGGATCGGAGTCGGGTGTCTTTGGAGCTTCCCGTCAGGAAAGTCGAGTTTTTTCATCTTTTCTCCGCACCATACTAACTGATCTTTCCCGACCCTCGCCATCCTCAGAACCCTCGTCACGATTTTGACGTCGATCAGAGCAAACAAGAGTTCCACTCCTTCCCATGTTTGAGGCCAAGATTTCTTCCTCCACCCTCTTGTTCTCTTGCAGAGTTCCTTCACTTTCACCCTTTTCTGCAATTGTTAACTCGGAGCTATGAAGGCAAGAAAAGCAGAGGAATACGGTCGATCCATGATCCAAGCCACAACAGAATCTCGGCCTCTTGTCATGGAGAGTGGACTGAACAAATAAACAGAATTGCAAGATCACAAGGGAGAAATGAACCTTTTCAAGAGATGACTTGACTTGTAGCAAAGTGGTGGTCATATTGTTGTGATTCCCATTTGGTTTTCTCTTGTCCGTTTTCAAGAAAACGTAGAAAGTGAGGATCGAGCTTTCGAGGATACCCATCAGGTCATCGGCCAGGACCATGAAGTCTGTTTCCTTATCCATCTCCTTTTCGTCCGACCCTGAAATCCCCGAGATCCCGATCAGCCTAGTTCACTGCATACAAGGCAAATCTAGGAAACGCATTCTGATAACTTACCTTGGATCTTGGGAGACTGAAGTAGCTTAGGCATCGCATTTCTCGTACGGGCATAAAGTTCAGCTCTCGAGCCATGCTCAAAGGGTTCATTCTCTATAAACCTCTGCAACAAGACCAGGAATTGCTGGAACTGTTGAGCACTATGGTTGTAACTTGTCCGGGTTTCGGGTTGGCACGAGATCAAATGGCCCAGCTGCGTGTATTGGCAATGGAGTGCCTCCCAAGTTAGGCAAAGTTGAGCAACGTAGGCTGTCTCGAGGTCATTACAAGGATCTGTCTCTGGCTGTTGCTGCAAATGCTCTGTCTCTTCCTCTGGTGCTTCCAATTTCTTAAGGGAAAGGCACCGAAAAGGCGATGCCAGTTTCTTGGACGCGGATCTCGGAGATGGGGTTGAAGGGCTTGGAGCAACTCCAACGCCTGAACCAAAGATGAACGGAAAAGACTAAAGCTTTTACTGATAGCCATGGTTATGCAGACAACAACTCAGACATGGACATAACCAGAGTTGACAATGAACTGAAAAATGTATCCACATTGTAAGGATTTCCGACAATCTCTGCAAATATATGCTTCTAGGGATGATGATTCTGGTCCTAAAAAAGTAAACCCATTTAGCTTAAACATCAAGAAGCGGCATTGAATCACCACAGAAACCGTTGATAATGTCAATGAAGAGAGCAAACAGGAAAAAAAAAAAAAAGAACAAAAATTTACCAGTTTCCTTGAGTTGTTGAGAGCTTAAGCGATCGAAGAAGAGCATACGCTCGCAATACTTTTCGTAAAGAGCATCAAATCCTCCCCACCATTGTCGCCCCTCTGCAACCACATCTCGCCACTCACTCTGACACTTCTCTTTCTCTTCTTCTTCTTCCTCCACATATGACTCCTCTTCTTCTTCCTCTTCGGGAATCGACCCCATGAAACTGTTGTTCCTCAGCTCTTTGAGCCTTCTCTTCACCTCATTGGTGATGAAATCGTCGTCATCGTCCTCGATTTCATCATTTTCCACCGAATCTGTCGGTTTATAGCTCAAATCTGCAACACCATTACCTTCATTGTTTTCACTCTTGTGCTTTTCTAGGTTTATCGCCGTCTTTTCCGCTGTTTCTTTCTCTGGGTCTGGCTTCTTCACTCGCCTGAACTTTCCAACTCTCAAGAAATCCATTTGCTCGAACACTTACAGTGCTTGACAATTTCTAGATCCCGACCAAGATTCCTTGCATGAAAGGAAAAAAAAAAAGGAACTTCTTCTCACCCTTCTAAGAAACTGTAGAAGCAACCAGTGGGAAAGGGCGTGAATCTGTGAAGGTGGCACAGAATCATGTCCAAACCCTAAAATGCAAAGACTCTTGAACTCGCATCAAGCTTCAGAGGATCAGGAGCCAGCCCTTTTAAAAGAGACATCAGATTTGATTCATCACTCGCTGAAAAAGTTCGAATCTTTTGACCCAACAGTTCACTGAAACTTAAAACTAAGAAAGCGAAAAGAAGTCAAATTTTCTGCAAAAAATTGAAGTTAATTAAACCCATTAAGAAAAAGGGTTGAACGACGAAAAATGCTCTGAGAAACCCGACAAGAACCCAAACATGAATCCGGGACAGTGTTTCAGCTCATTACAAAAAAAAAAAAAACTCAGAAAACGACGAGATTCAAGCTCTTCTGTACGTGGAAGAAGAAACTACAATATGAGAAGTAATTTTCAACGAAGAGAATCTCAGAAAATAAAAAGCCAAAATGGACAAAAATGTAAAGAAAAAAGAAGACGAAGAGAGAGAGAGCTCTATGTCTTTTGCAGTGTCCATGGTGTACAACGAGGAAACACACCATAAATGCGAGATGGTATTAATTTCGTAAGCAGATCTCATTTAATTTATAATTAAATGCTTATTTAATCTCCATTTCAAATTTCAAAACTACTGAATTTTCATTTTTCTATATCTGTGCAAGAACTGTAAACCCTTTGGGAGAGAGATCTGATTGCATTTGTCTTTTAGTTTTTTGTTTTTTTTACATTTATTAATAAATCCGATAAATTATTCCATTTTTTTTTTAAATTTCGAAAGGTAAAAAGACATGGAAAGAGAGAGAGCACGGCGTCCCATAAGAGAGAACAGTGAGCATCGTACAGAGAATATTGTCAGAAAAGCCGCGCAAACTGGTGTGTACGATTTGGTCATCGCGCTCCACTAAATTCCTATTTTACCCTCCTTAGAATGTGTAATTACGGATATGTCCCAATGACTGATTTGTAAATATGGGCTTTTGATGAGTTTACATAGTAAGCCCATTTTGATTTACATTTAAAGCCCTTGTGGGCTATCAATTTTTTTAAATAAATAATTCACAAATAAGCCCAATCGAATCTATTACTTTTGAACCGAACCAATCTAAACCGGATCTAATTATAATTAATTTAGACCGGTTTTAATTTGATCCAAATTAAAATTCTAGATAATTGTTTACTGTCTGTAGACGCTTAATTATATTTCTTAAAAAAACGGCAAGTGAATTAGCAATTATGATAGAAGACAAAATATTTTTTTGACATATTTTATAGAGTTTGAGTATTTTTTTTTTATATGATTTTCATTTCTTTTTATGATAAGATCCATTTTTTTCAAGTTGAAATGAACCCATGGGAATATACAAGAGCTCATAATCCGGTTATAAAAACTTACAAAAAGTTATGATGAGGAAGGTGACAAACATCCCCATCTTCCAATTATATATATATCATCAATTAATGAACTCTTTGCAAAAAAAATGTTGCACTCCTTCAATTAAAGCAACTCTTTACTAGAAATGACCTTTTCTCCCTTTTTTTTAATATATATAATTGATCAATTATTATTTTTTATATCTTTCCAATCAATGGTTTAACAACATTTTCTATGTTAATGAAGCTCACAAAAAAAATGCATATACAATATTGGATGAACATTTTGGCTTCTTGTCCGCTCTTGAAAATATTAATTAAATTTCAAAGAAAATCCCATAAAATATCTAAACTCTATAAAACATACCAAAAAAATTGCATCAATTTTTAATTTGTAAATAAATACATCAAAAATTAAAATGTGCCAAAATACACATTCTTTAATACACGGTTGGCCGATAATCTTTACTCGGATTCCTGGCCGATGTGGGACAAAGATTAAACGAACATAAACTAGACCTTAAATGGGCCAAAGTTGGACGGCCCAATGGAATTTTGAAGCCGAAACTAGCTACACTTGTCTAATAGTAATGGTATACGTGTAAGAGTATATAAATAATTTTTTTTATCTTTTAAAGAGCTTATAAAATTTGATAAACATATATACGTACATACTGTTGTCTTAACTCTATTATTTGTCATAACAATATAATGATAATAATAATAATAATTGGAATAGAAAAAGTTTCGAGTTGTTTGGACAAAAAGTTCCGTCACACATTTTGATTTGCAACAAGACTTTCAACTTCTTACTCATTTCAACATTAATTTTTTATCATTAGATTGTGGTTTGGGTTTATGAAATTGATGAGAGGAATTTGAATCAAATGAATTTATTTATTTTGTTTTTTGGTCATGGGATTTTAATCTTTTGTCTCCTCTTCTCAGGGTCGAGATAATCTCACAAATCTTTGGCCGATGATTGAGATCGTATCGATTCAATCTAACAGAAAATAACGATTAAAAAGTTTGACGATATTTGATTCGATCATTCAGATCGTATATTTTAGAGATCGACGGTGAATAATTATTAATCGGACAATGTGGATAAAACTATTGAATCAATGGTACAAGACGTAATTATGCATTGAGCATTGATGAAACAAAAAGAGTTTATTTGGCATATATAATAGAAAATGAGTAACAAATATGACAAAAGAAAACTTTAATTTGATTTCAAATCCACTCGATTTCACAAAACCCAACCGTAATCTAATCTCCGGACAACTTAATACGTTTTCCTGTTGCATATAATGTAACGACAATTAATAAAAGATTAAGAATGACGACGTGTGCATATATATATTAATCAAGTTTCATAAAGGTTTTAAAAGGGGAAAAAAGACTTTCCAATTTAATTTTAAATTGGGCTATCCGAATACAATATGATGATAATAATAATAACGAATATATAACTACAACTATTATTATTATCAAACAAAAAAAAATTAGATTTATTTGGTAGGGGCCGCGCGAACGCAGGCCCCCTCTGCCACAAATTATGACGTAGGCTCTCCCACTTGGGGAGACCTTATGCTAAGCGCCCTTCCGAAGTGCAATGGAAGTCACTAGCCTAGGCCACGCGCCTTCTTGATCGCGCGTCGACCCCGTCCAGGTAAGTATGTTGTTCATTCGCTCGAGCTTCCTTCTTATGCTACCCTCCGCTTGTTTGAGTCTTGCTATTTCCCCGATGTGGGATTTCCATTTTGTGACAAACTTGGGCCATGGGCCTACATTAGCCGAAGCCCATATATGGATTTGGAAAATATCAAATATATGCGTGTACCTCTCTCTCTCATCATTTACTTGTTGTTGGGGCAAAAATTGGACATTCATAAACCAAAAAATTGTTATTCGAAAACTAATCAAAGTGAGATATGATTTTTGACATGAAATACAAACGAAGATAAATTTAAATAAAAGGTATTCTCCGAATATATTATAGATTACCTTTTATTTCATTTTAAATTTTCACTTGCATTTTTTTTATAAATAAGAGAGTTTAACTATACCTAAACAATGTTGAAAAAAAAAATATATTGAATGGAAAGATTAGAGTTTTTTTTCTCTCACTATTTCTTTCACTTTCTACACCTCTGTTTTCATCATCATCTCAGTTAAAATGATTCGGATAAAATTAAAAGCATGGTAGCGAAAAAAGAACTAATATTTCACCTTTTACTACAGAATACCATGCGTTTTGACATATCCAATTTTTATACTATGTTTTGAACTTTTTCGCATAAAAACATTTTGAATAAAGGATTGTTGTAATTTTGTATAATTACAATCTTACTAGAAAGCCCAAATTCCTAGGGGTCATTATCTTAGAGAATAAAAAGATATTAGAAGCATCGCTTTTTGAATGGAACTTTAAGCTCGGGCCTTATATCCCACCAACACAAACCTACACAAAAGATGAAGCAAAGAAGAAACTTAAGCAGCAAGCTAGCTTCATTAGGGAAAGGATCACTGTTATTGTGAACCGAAAGAGTTTTCCCTCATACATAAAACATTTGCTAAGATCGAGATCGCTAATTCACCAAAGTTGAAATCAAATACACATCAGATCATCTGTTCTATACTACAGTCAGACAGGAAGCAACCATTAGTTTAGATATCAATCACCCACGAAAGCATAAAACTTTGCATGGATAAAGTGGAGAAAGATCTTATTTTCATGTTCAAGAACAATCTAACAACCCAACCCACAAACTAAACCTACTTGCTCCAATCCACCATTATCAGGGTTTCCAAGAAACATCTGAGCAAAGACGGAGTCTGATGTCTACGAGGAAGAGCTTCCACCCTTCTGGCTGCTAATGTAAACCCGCAAAAAGCTTTCCAAAATAGCTTCAGGATTGGGAATGAGGAGCGTCTGATGTTTGGACGCCCCAGAGAGTTCATCCTGTAGAGGCAGAGGCAGAGGAAGATGAAAATGTTTGACCTTTTCTGTAGGGAGAATTTCAGTCAATGTTAAACCTGGAAATAATGAACTTTTGGAAATGATAACAATGCAGATCGAGAGAGAGAAAACACCAAAGAAGAGAATATGGAACTTGGTAGTCAAGATCGGTGTTTATGTATCTTGTTACGGAATAATAATGGGCTAACACTTTATGCAAGCCCAAAGAGCTCATAGATTTTAGGATGCTTTCTGATATGATGGGGCATGTGTAGAGAATATTTTTTGCTTCGGAGTGTTTTCTCTCTCGGAAGAAAGCTTTGAAAACATTAAGGTATGCGGCAAAAGAAGGATAATCCTTTGAGCTTAGTACTCTCACGAACTCCTTAGCATCCCCGCAGTCTCATGAATATACTATTCAGATATAGTTGAATATGATTAAAAAATATGAAAGATAATCTTATAATTTTTAATAATATAAAGGGTATTTTATAATTCTGTTCGTTTTCTATCTATTAAAGTGTTAAATCCAAAATAGAATTTGATATATTTGTGATCTCGTTTTATAAATTCAGAATCGAACCCAATTTAATCTACTACTCGAAAATGAAGTAATTTTGTCTAACGTCGAATCAAACCAAACTTAACCGAAATATGTTATAATTGTACATAAAGCAAATCCGAAGTATAATTATATTTTTTTTTAAAATTCGAAAAATTGAATCCAAATCTAAAAATAATTTTTAATGAATATTTTTGTTACTAAAAATCAATTTCAAAATGAGTCCAAATAGAAATTGAATTAAACCGTTACGATCGTCAAACGGGTCAATATGTGTTGACTGTTGTCGCACAATCAGACTCATCAGTCTGATGAGAATATCCGATTTGGTTCAACATAATATTTTGGGTCAAATTGAATCGAACCAATCAAATTGAACCGAACCGAACCTAACCAACACGAACCGATTTGGTTCATTGTCAATTTTTTATTTTTTTATTTTATCGGTTGTTTGTAAAGAAAATAATTTTGCCCATCCTCCACCGCGCCTCTCTCCTTCCCTCTGGTCCTCAAATCAGCTTTCTGCTCACGAGAAATTCATCGGGTAAGTTCGTTGGATCGTCCTTCGACTTAATTTCGATTTCGTGCTCCTTCCATCTCGAAGAATTTAGCTAGAATTTTGACTAGTTTTGACTATACGTCACATGATTTTCATGTCGTTAGGTTCTGAGTTCGCCAAGAGATTTTCATGGTTCGTAAGAATTCGACGAAAATAGCTTGCTTTGATCGTCTCACGTGGTATGGTAGTGGAGTCTGGAAGATTATGTTGATGCAATTTTTACTGGTTTTGATTATGTTTTTAGTTTAGTTTTAACATGCAATTTAGAAAATGGGTTTTGGGTTTTTTTTTACTTAGATTAAGCTTTATTCACTCTTATTCATCAGAAAATAAGAATGCCCTAATCAAATCTGTAAAAATTTATTTATTTTGATCATATGGGAGTTGTGTTTGGTTTGTCCTTACCGTTTTCTTTTGCAATTCTTTGAGTTTTGATTGATTGATTGATTTATAGCTTTTCTCTCTGTTTATTTTGGTTTTATGTATCTTTGTATCCTATGCTTTATAATGATCTCTGGTTCTCTCTTAATGTGTTGTTGTTCTTATGCTTCTTAGTGTGCCATAATAATCTTTACAATTGCATATGGTACTCTTTTGATGTATTTTCACTTCTCCTGTCATCAATTGTGTGTTTGATTACAATTGTATATCAATAGGTAGTGTTATGGTGCTTTTACGTTGCTGGTTTACTTGTTACGATTCTCAATCCGAATCTTTCGCATCTTCTTCGTATTTTTCTGTTAAAGCATTACCTGCTTGCTGAACCATATCATACATTTATCTCGCAGAATTGTAATGAGCAAAAAGAAAGATGACCATGAGCTGATAGTAAAGGATAGCCTATTCGGAAAGCTTCCCGACCATCTCTTGATAGATATATTTATCAGAGTTCCCATATCGGAGTGGGCGGATTTAGCTTCCGTCAAAAGGCAGTGGGCAAATTTATTCAGGGGGGAATGCTTTTGGCAAGCTGCTCTTAATCGGGCATATCCTCTCTCTAGCAAAACTAAGAGATGGCCTGGACCTATCCCTCGCGGTTTGAGCAAAAGGTAACTCAATACACGACTCGCTAGTATTATTTGATCTGACGACTGGCTAAAAATTTCCTTAATTATTTACCTCTCCTATTCATTGTGTAAACTGTGATGTGATTCATTGAGTTTAGCCATCCGTTCTTGCAGGAGATATGCGGCTTTGCATGTCAGCAAAAACATTCTAGGTGTGAATTCGGACATAGATGAGATCATGGGCCACATTTATTTGTTCTTGAAAGAGCAGCTTGAACTCGAAAGCTTACCTCCTCCTTCAGGTGTATTGCACGGAACTATGATTGGTAAGCAGATTTTTCTGCGCATTTTTCTCTATCATGGTTTTACTCATTCGACTCTTATCATAATATGTTAGTTTTGGCATCTGGGCATCTGTTCTATCATAGTAGAAACCTTAGATGGTGCTAAATGCTGTGTATGGAGATTTTCTCGGCATTGTAAATATGGTTTGCCTATGGAGCTTGCTAATGGCATTCATCTATCGTGGTAGCAGATCAACTGATCGCTTGTGGTAAATCGAAAGATGTAGCTGATGAGCTCGTGACGCAAATTTGGTTGGCTGTTCTCGACAATTTGGAGGATACCAAGCATACTTTTCTCGTGCTGAAATGCATTGCTCAAGAAGGCGATGTAAGCTTTTATTACACAACCGAGAACTAGCTAACATTGTATAATAGCAACTCTTGTGGAATCGTCGTGTTTTTTTTTTGCAGGTTTTTCTTCCTTACCCGTATTCAAGACCGATCAAAGTCCAATGGAGGGTGTTCGAGAAACTCTTCACGGATTTCCGCGACTGTTTCAATCATTCGGAATACACGGATGTGTTGGGAATTGCCAAGAACAAGTTCCAACCAATACCATCTCTCTGGTTAGGCTACTAGTCTCTAACTGTAAGTATCTCTGTTCATACTACAAAGCACAAACTCAGGTCTCTTGCTTCGCTGCCCCTTTTAAGATTTTCTGATTTTGATATCTTTAGGGTTTTCATACAAATATCTTGTCCATGGAACTCAGGAATGTTTTGATATGCATGTATGTGGTTATTTTCTTCATACCCTTCATTATGGTTAGGTTGAAAGAGTAATATCTGCTTATATATATAATGTAATGACGGTTTTTGCCATGAATGTGCTAGAACATAATAACAATGAAGATAACTGGGAAGCCAAATTGAACATTAACCCAAATACAAAGTTTTAGATTTCATTTTGAAACCCTTTTGAATTCTAGATAGAACTTTAAAATTGAAAATTGGAAAATGCAATTATTGATAGTTGGAAATTATGTATTTATATACCTAATATAAAATAAATCGGACTAAACCGTATTTACATTCTAATATATTCCCATCTTATCACGAGTTTCTATATATATATATATATAGATATATTTTATAACCGAGTATTTTGGATCGAAACCCAACTAATTTGAGGGCATGAACGTGAGTTTCTATATTGAACAGATACAAAATAAACCACTAGAAAATCACACCGAATGCAAACCATGCTTTTAAAAGCGAATGCAACAAATACAAATTGAACGTTATTTTATATTTTAGTTATATACTTTTAAAAAGTAAACAACTTATTAGATTTCGTATTGCTTCCGTAATTCAGTTTATTTTTTTTCTTTATTTCCAACATATATTATCCATGAATTGCCTTATACAGCGAGAAGAAGTCGAGCTGCAGGGGGTGGGAGTCGTTGAACTGACATTAAATAACTGAAAATGGAATCTATAAAATGATATTTGCGTGTTATTCGTGATCACTCATTACAATTTTTAATTCCCAATTATTTTTTCCTAAAAAGAGAGAAAATCTAATTACCGAACCGTCGACGAGTCCTTGTTCCTTGTCGCAATTTCAGACTGCGAACACCATTTTTGCTCATACTCTCATTCTTCTTCTTCTTCACCATGCTCTAAACAAATCAATCTATCAAGCTATAATCTATTCTCCGACATGATTCGCACAAAGTCGGTTGCTCTTCTCGCTCTGTCCCTTCTCCTTCCTCTTCTCTTCGTCTCGACAAAACCCACAACGCTCGAACTCAACGACCTTGGGCACGTCTCCCTACTCGTCTCAGAATCTGGTCTCAATTTCGCGAAGAACTTACTAATCGAAAAGGCGATCTCTACAGTGATTCCACTTCAGTTACCCGACATCGAGAAGAAGGTGAAGATCCCACTTGTCGGGAAAGTCCGAATGGGTCTGTCGGATATCCAGATTTCCGCGGTGGATGTGGTTGATTCGTGGATTAAAACCCTCGAAAACGGCGGAATCGTTCTGGGCATTACAGGTGCGACGGCAGAATTGAGCATGAACTGGTCTTATACTTACACTGCTTTGTTCATCGAGATTTCTGACCGTGGGGATGCTTCAGTGAAGGTAATTCAAACAAGTTTTGTGCTTTGTTCATTGAGATTTCTGGTTCATGTGGAATTCCCAAGGATTGAAACATTGTAGAACTTTTAGGACATGCATCTTGATCTTATACAGTGATGATACTGTGAAGGTCGAAGGTATGGATATACGGGTTGCTGTCTCCCTCATCGAACACGAGGGGAGTCTTAGGATGGATTCGGTGGCAAGTTACTGTAAGGTGAAAAGCATTGATATAAACATCGATGGTGGAGCTTCTTGGCTATATCAAGGGTATAACATGTTCTTGCTGTTCTTGCAAGAGGTAAATACAAATTCATTTCCTGGGTTTTGTTTAAATCTTCGTGTCGTTTACAGGGTGATTGATGCGTTTCAAAAGAGAATTATTTCCGCTGTTAAAGAAGCTGTATCGAAGAAAATCGAAGAAAACATGGAGAAGCTTGATTCCTTGCTGCAATCTATTCCGAAACAGAAACTGATCGACGATTCTGCCTCAGTGAATCTCACTTTCACCGGCAACCCCGTTTTTGGCGATTCTTCCGTCCAAGTCAGAATCGACGGCCTTTTCGTTCCGAACAATCATGTTAAAGTTTTAGAACACGGCCTTAAAGGATCTCGATCTCCTTTCTTCTTCGACAGGCTTAACAGAATGGTGAAAATTTCGATAGAGGAAGAAGTTTTCGATTCTGCAACACGGGTATACTTCAACGTAAGTTTGCAGTTCGATGAGCTACGGGTTTGGCTTACGATAAACCGTGATCTTTTGGATCGTTTTTAATTGACGGAGAACCTTTTCTCGGCAGGCAGAGCGTATGCATTTGGTCATCGAGGAAACAAAAAACCTGTCGGTTCTGGACACGGCTGATTGGAAACTCATCCTTCCAGAAATGTACAATCTTTACCCAAATGATAAGATGAAACTTGAAATCTCGGTGACGTCTCCGCCTTCCGTGAAGATCACCGAAAAGGGTATCGATGCAGCGATTAATTTGGACACGACGGTTGATGTTCTTGACGCCGGAGAAGTTATACCTGTTGCGTGTTTCTCAACGGTATGTTTGTCCATAAAAAAACTATATACGTTTTGTTATATATCAAAAAAAAGAAGGGATCTTCCCGAGCATCCGATCTCTAACCGGAATCGTGATTTCAAAGTGCAGGTTCTGAATGTTTCGTGTTCTGCAGAAGTCTCGAAGAACGATTTAGCCGGTAGCCTCAGACTAGTCGACTTCAACTCGTCGGTTAAGTGGAGCAAAGTCGGAGAACTTCATGCCAACTCTGCTCGGGTTCGTGTCGTATGAAACTGTAACAAAACCCGGAAAGAAAAAAACTTCATTCCATATCAATCTCTACCTGAAACATCATCCAAAAATTTCGAGTTCATCATTTCAAACGCAAACGTGTACACATGTTCTTGGATCTTGCAGGAGGCGATGGCAGCGGTTCTTGAAGCGGCGTTTTTCCCGTATGTAAATGAACGGCTCGGGAGAGGATTTCCGCTGCCGATTCCTCGTGGTTTCGACATCAGAGGTACGGAAATCGTTTACGCAGATTCTCGGGTGATGGTCTGCAGCGATATCTCCTACACTTGATTACATTCTACGACCGGTCTTGCTCCTTGTCTATAATGTTCATTGCAGAGTTTATGTACTTGTGCTTTATTATTGTGGTGGAGATTTCCGTTCTGTACGGATATGTAAAACCGGACCGAATCAAATTGAATCGGATTCACACATAATTGAATCCGTCGATTTAATAACCGAATGGATATTATCTTTTTAGAACAAACCGGGAAAATATGAACCAAAACCAGATCTTTTTACTTTGGTTGCTAGATCTTTGCATTGACTAGAAGAGTCACATTCACTATATTGCAGATAAAACTGATTTTCATTAAGAAAAATAAAAGAAAACTCGTTAATTATTACCAAAAAATAGGAAAAATTAAATAATTTATTCCAAATTTAGGACAGGAAAAGACGAGAGTTCCAAAACGAATCTAATTTACAGTAAACCATCCACCCAACACAAGCCCTCTGTCAAAAAAAGCAACTACAAATCAGAAAACAGATGATTTACAGTAAAACAGATCCAATCACAGAAAGTGTGTTCTTGTAACGCAGGAACCCTCTCAAATACACGCGCACTCTGGCTATGAAAGCTTTTCTTGTTCTTCAAGAAATGCCGACTGTCTTGCCGAGAAGCCACAGGACCAGAGACATTTCGATTCCGAAGATGGTATGCAGAGTACTTCTATCGAGGGTAAACCCGAAAACCGTGATCCCTGCTCTGTTGTTCTCGAAATAAGTCACTGCGCCGCAAAGATACGCGAGTAGAAAACAAAACAAAACACAGGTCACAACCATCTCATGATGTGTTAAAGATGTTAGCTTGATCGGTTTCGAAGTAATATCAGCAGATATGAACATATATCCCTTCGACGTTGTTATCAATACGAGTGGATGGATAGGTTCTGACTAGCGAGATCCAAAAAAGTGTGGGGGGACATAGACGAAGAAGAACGATACCTAGAGCTTGTCTCTTTTGGAAAGATATGGTACTGTAAGCATAAGCAGGGATGAGATTGTTGTTGTCAAGATCATCTTCTTCGTCTCCATAATCGTCGCTCTCGGTGTCCCCCATATCAGGATCCACACCATGGGGGGCGGCGTCTCGAGAAGCTAGCCTCGGAGTCTCGCCATCCATCGTCTCGAATGATTCTAACGTCGCGCATACATGCCACTTGGCGGCGAGGCATGTCACTGCCTGAGCCTTGTGTGTGATCTTTGAGGCACTCCGAAGCAGAATCAGCAGAGCTGTGACCAGCGTCATAGAACAAAGCTGCCCGAAAAACGCAAGAAAAACAATCAAACCATTCGTCAAGATCACGATTTCTCGGTTACCCTTTTTCAATCTAAATGCGTAGAAGCTTAACATATAACAATATAACTCACCGCGAGTTCTCCAGCCCTGTAGATATTCACTTCGGCGTAAGCCTTAGTGGTAACAAGCAAGGAAGTGAACTGGCTTCCGGTTACAAGAATCAAAGACCACAATATGAAAGTGCGGAAACGGTGGCTGATGATCCTGAGATGGCGTCTGATGCGGAGATGTTCGGACAAGACAGATCCAACGTCTGAATCCACCTGGAAGAGTGAAGCAAAGTCCTGAAGGCGAAGGATCTGAAGGTGACAGATGAGGCGGAAGAGGACACAGACGAGAAATATGACGGTCGTACGGTACAGCCATGATAGGAGCTCCATGAGACAAGCCACTGTATCGCTCAGGACAACGTTTCCAAGAAAGGGGATCTGAGATGCGCCTGAACCGTACCACCATATCTTGTACGCGCTTTCTGCTAAGAAACAAGGGGCCACGAAGTAGGAGAGAAGCTTAACCGATGTCTGCAGGAGAAAAAAAACACATCTTTTTGGTAAATTAAGGAGGCAAATGAGGAAGAAGAAGATTTATTAGAGTACATGGTTCTGCCAAGTCATTGCCCAAGAGACATGAAACATTATGATTCTTGCGGAACACGTAAAAGGGTTTATGATCATGGATTGACTGAAAAGGAATTCACCATTGATCTATAAAACAAGTGTTCGTTGAAGTAAACCGAGGAGCAGAGAATCTTGATAACGTAAACCGAGGAGCAAGGAATTCACCATTGATCTTTAAAAATAACTATTGTTTTAATAAAAAATGGAATTCAGATCTAAAAAGATAACATAATACATTAACACATTCCTACAAATTATTCCGTACTGGGAAATGCTTATTCTTTTCTTTTTTGCGACTTTTGAACAACTATTTTTGTTGTTAAAAGTTATTATTGAATTTGAGAGAACTTATTTATTCCTTTGAATTATACATTTTTTTAATCCAAAGAGAACATAGAATTGTAATCGAAAAGAGAAAAAAAAGTCACATAAGAAGCTCTGTTCTTATTTGTTTAGATTTAGATGATAAAATTAAATATTGGTATTACCGATTGTGGGAGAAGATGATTGTCCCTCAGATCAGTTGTTCACCCACCACGCCACCTCAAGAGATCTATTGCTCTGTTTATTTTTGCTTAAATTTGTATTCTATTTCTATTTTGCAAAAAAAAAAAAAAAAAAATTGAAAACTGACTGGTAAAAATGATTCAAGATTTTGGAGTGAAAACGCTGTATATATCTTATAAAAAAAAAGAAATTAAAATGCATCATATTTATTGATGGTCCGACGGTGAAATTGTATCACGGGAACCGACTTTTTTGTGTTTATTTTCTTAAAATTCGCTTTCTAAATCGTCGTTTTTTATTTCCTTGCTTCCCATTATGGTTTTGTAAACCATTTTCTTTACTCAAAACGATATATATATATATATATATATATATATATAATGGAATTCTTATGTTAAATATAGATTATACCTTTTATTAGGGGTGGGCGTTTCGGTACGGTTCTTCAGAACCGGACCGAACCGAACCGAAAAACGGTATTTTTCCCGATCCGAAACCGTTCTCAATTTCCGAATAATATTATTTTTAGAGAACCGAATTTTTTCGGAACTGAACCGAACCGAACCGAACCGAACTTTAAAAAATCCCGAAAAACCGAATATTTTTAAAGGAAAACTATCTTTTTGGGACCGAACCGAACCGAACCGAACATAATATAAAAATCGATTGATACTTATTTTTACAAAACCAAAAAAACCGAACCGATCCATTCCCATCCCGAACCCGAACCGTTTACCGAAACGCCCACCCCTACCTTTTATTATGTTCGCTTATATTTGTGTGATATTCTTGGTTTTCGAAAATCATATTGTTGCCAAGTTTAGGACCTTTAGGTTTATATCATCAAGTGACAATGAACATTTTACGCATTTAATCAGAGGCCGTCTCAAGATCAAGAAAAGATCCCAAAATCGGAATCGAAAACCCAAATTTTAAAAAAAAAATCCAAAACAGAGTTGGAAAAAAAGATCAAATGTCAAAAATCTGAAAGGGCAACAAATTCGATCGAAGACAAGCAATGAGAAAGGAGGCAAAACCAAAACACCAGATTTCCAGAATAACATCTTCAGAAAATTCGAAAAATCAAAATTCAAATTCGAATTCGAATCAGATTAGAACATAAAAAGGCAGGAAGAAGGAAAAAACAGAATTCCATAAAGGAAATGAGAATCGAGTGAAGAATAGAAGATCGACGAACTCACGTTGAGCTTATCGGTGTAGCCTCGCCGAACTGTCTCGCTCTCGTTCCAGAGCTTATCGAAGAAGAGAAACCTTCGGAGACCGTACTTGCTGACGAATCTGGAGAGACAGAGGAAAGAGAGGCTCGCGACGCTGCTGAGGGAGAGCTCGACGACGGCGTCGTAACGCCGAGAGTGGCGGCTGTCGCAGTCGGCGCAGGCGAGGAGGACGTGGGAAGTCGCCGGAACGACGAGGGTGAAGACGACGAACATCGACCACGAGAGAACCGCCGTCCACGGATTCGATTGGTCGACGCACATCCATCGGAGGTATTTGCGGAAGCTCTGAAGCTCGTCCTGCGCGTGGGAGACACAGCGCGTGAACTTGTTCTCCCGCGCCACGAGAGGCTCCCGTCCGTGGTCGATCTCCGCCATGGACGATCACTCGAAGAAAGCGGCGAAAATCAGAGGCGAGAGAGAGAGAGAGAGGGGTTTTTTCTTTGGGTCTCTGTTTTTTTCTTGGAAAAAAATTGCGATCGGTGATTCGTTATGAAAACTGGGGAGAGGAGGTAGAGCCAATTTTAAAGGTGGTTATTATAAGGACAAGGTTTTCTTATATATATACACACACAACATTTTAATTTTTTTTTTGATAAAATCATTTTAAAAATTTTAATATAACTACTTATAAAAATTGAAATATATAATAATATTTAACTAATTATCTATATAATTTTGTTGGGAGAAGAAGACAAATTTATAATGTCGCAATGTTATAAGTAACGTTGTACTTGTTAAACTTATAATAAAAGAAAAATCTAAATATATAATATATTTTATTTGTTTACTATTCTTTCAATTTTTTTACACCATCCTTATATTCCATAAAAAAAATTATCCATACATTTATAATGATCGAAAATATAAATTTGTATATCTCATAACTACTTTTCTTACAAACCAAATAGTAAATATTTAGTTTCTTGCAAGAATATTATTATCCTTGGAGTATATTTTTAAAATTTATAAATTCTTATCTTTACATTTTTCAGATTTTTTTAGAATTATGTAATACGTATTATGGAATCATTAGTAAATTTATGTACAGACAGAGGTTCCCTTTTAACTTTACTAAATTTATATATTTTGAAAATTTCAAATAAAATCATATTTCAAGGTATACATGCTTTCATATTCGAAAATTGAGTAGAATATAAAATAAGAATAATTACGATCAGTACCGTAAATTATAAACAATGTAAACTGTTTGCATTTTTTTTCTATCAACGCAATAGTATTTGCCTGATTGCATCATACGGTGAAAATTGATTAACCAAACAATACCAAAAAGAACAATGACGGAAAAATTATTTGGAAAAACTTCCAAAAATAAAAATGTATTATGCTTTTTTCATCCCCCCCCCCCCTTCAATTTTCGTCTCTTTTTTTGTAATATACCTTTCTAATTATTTTTTTATCTGAAATATAAAAACATCAGTTTAAACGGGATATTATTGAAAATATAATCCATATTTTAACACATACCCTTCTCCAGTTCTGACCATGTGATCTATATAATCCAAAATATAGTGTGATCACATGTTTATCTCATTGTTTATAACGTTAAATTTATGATGTTTTAATCAAATAATTAGTAAGATATATAATATATAAACATAATGAACTAGTGAGATCACCATAAATTTAACGTTATAATCAATAAAATCAAAATGTGACCACACTATATTTTGGATTATATGGATTGTGTGGTCACAGTTAGAAAATGGTATGTCAAAAGTATTTTTAATATAATATCGTTTAAATATTGTTGATATTATATTTAAAAATAAAATTTTATAATTTATTATTTATGATAAATTATATCCGTTTTCGGTAAAAAATATATCTATCCGATTTAAAAAAAGATAAAATAATATCATTTAAGAATTAAAAAATAAAAATAAGAATACAAAACATTATATTATAATAAGAGAATTTTGGTTACATGCTCGGCTTTTGGCATCTCTAAAAAAAATCCCTTAGCAACTACATAATTTGTACACGTAATTTCGTGAATGGGATATAACAACATAAAAGACCGCTTCAGAATTTCCAAATTCAGATCTTTTACTTAAAAATTTTAGATTTTTTTAATGAGAGAATATATAGAGTGGCAATCAAATCAAAATAAAAAAAAAACGAAACGAAAGATAATAGTTAAAAAAACATAAACAATATTAATTATTATAAAAAAGTAACCCATAAAAAGACATACAAAAAAAAAGATGCAGATGAACAGCTAATTTTGTGGGCCCCAGACACATGTGATGTGTAATAGTTAAGCAGATCACCGTAAACGCAATGTTACGTGGCGCTCTCCGACACGACATAACCTAATAATATATTCTTTTTTTAATTATCCTTAATTATTAATTATGCGGTTTATTATTTAATCAATAATCAAACTTGGTATGGACAAAACATTTATGTTTGAACTTAAATTTTAAATATCAGATTTCTTAAAGAAATGAAAATCACCGACGCATGTCCTAAACTCATTCGGGGCAAGAGTATAATTGTAGAAAACAATTTTAAAAAAGGTCAATTGATTGGTAATCATTTGGAATAATTAATTTTTAAGATAAGTATTAGATGCCGATTTGGTTGATTACTTGTGATCCTGCCTGTTCCTACGCTTTCGTCTGTGTATATAGCAGAAAATAATTTAAATACATTATCATCATAGTTGAAAAATTACACCAAAACTCATTTCTAATTAAATCCATTTAAATATTTGGATAATTCTCATTGAATTAGTTAATAAATACGTTGTGATCGAGTTTAGGTTCTAAGTTTCTCTAAAATTAACATATCCATAATATCCAAATATTTTATTAAATTTTCACATATATTTTAATAGTATATTGACCTATCCATATGTTTTTCTTGGAATCATTGATTAAATTCGACGTAATATATATAAAGATATCCTAATACTATGAAAAATTCCGAAAAAATACATCAATTTACTAATTTCTAACGTATAAATAAAATTTGATGTATTAAATGCATACGATGTTATCGGATATATAATTTATGTTTCTAACAAATTCATGTATTTATCTGATAAAAATTAGTAAATTAATGTATTTTTTTTTGTGGAATTTTTCCATAATATTTTAGTTACATATTAGATTAGAAACCGAAAAGAATACATATTTCCTCCGGTTTTTTCCTGGTCGATTTTATTTGCTCGGTTTAGTTCCATATTTCAGAAAATATTGCGATTGTGCCATTCATGACACTCCGCCTTATCTAGAGACTTTCTAAGCCTCTATCTCTCTGAGAGACTTCCAACTCTTTTTTTTTCTTCAGTGGCTATGAGGCCCTCAACACATGAAACTGAGCAAATGGCCCATCTTGTAACACCTTTTTTTTTTGTTAATATCGGGAAATATGGAGATATTAAACTATCCTTCAATTCAATGGTTATCAAATCCAAAACTTATAATGATAAATTTTCGTACTTTTTTTTTAAAAATGGGGGGAAAATACTAAACAAAGTCTTTACTAATAAAATATAATATTCTAAATCATTTGGTGAAAACCTTAAATTTTTAAAAAATGTAGCAATAAATCATTGATCATAATATAATAATGTGGCATAATACAATTTCTTAAAAGTTAATGCTTTCATCAAATAATAAAATTTCATATTTCATAAAAAAAATACATGATGTATTTTTCTCAATTTTGAAAAAATTGTTCATTTTTAACTGTTCTCTCTCTCTCTCTCTCTCTAACTGTATGCAATTGTCGATTTTTTTTTTTTTTTTGAGTTTTAGGGGTTTTTTGTGTGTAGAGAAGCTAGTAGATGGCCATAATCTTATTGGTTATAGATAAGGTTTATTTTATATATTCATTATGAGAAATTGTTAGCTTGCAATTATTTATATTGACCTAGATATGGAGCCTCGAATTTTATTTCTTGTAATAAATGAAAATAACGTACTAAATTCGGGAACGGGTACTGAATTATTTGTCATATAACATAATGTCAATTAATTAAATGTGATAGATATATCTTCATAAAAATGGTTTGAATATGATGGGAGTAGTTATATATTGCATTCTTTACTTTTGGATAATGACGGTGTTTGGGTATTTCGGATCGGACTAATTCTTGGAATTAATTGCAAGTTGGATATTTGGATCGACATCCGTTAATTAGAGACCCACGAAACAAACATTCCCTTTGAAGAAATTTCTGAATTGTAAAACAGTACTTGGTTATATGATATCTTGATGTCGTAGCGTAGGGATAGTTAACATGATTAAATAAATTTTACATGGCATCGCTAATGACAATTATAAAACCTAATTACAGATTAAGTTTAAATGATCATATATTATATATAAGATTTACCCGATGGTAACTTGCGAGTATTGAAGGAGCATATTTACCTTTTTTCTTCATAATAATAAACAAAAGCCGTGTTTTTGGACAGAAGAGACAAGTCATAAGCCGAATTCATTGCCTGTCTGAATTCCCTTCACAGAAGCAAAGTAGAAACGTCATATTCCGGCCACCCGAAATTAAAAAAAGAAAAAGGAAAAAACGTACACCGAACGCATTTCATGAACAAACGTTTACACTTTGGCCACCAAACTCAAACCTAAAGAGCCCGCCATGGCCTACAACTCCGAACATTCGCAACATTATGGTAGTTAACAACAATGTATGGGAAAATGTCGTCGATTCAGATTTTTTAGTTTTACAAAAATCGTAACCATTCAACAAAAATTTTCGATTTTTCCAATTAATTTTCCATATATTTGATTTTCATATCGAATTCGGCTAGAATTCACCCTGAATCCAGATTCAATGGACAGAAAAGGATAGATATGCATGCCCGAGAACCACATTCAACCAAACCAAACCATAAGACGAAAGCACAAAATGATCTTCCATCCGAAATCGAGTCCCATCTTGGGTTAACCATCACATTGCTCACGCCCGATCTCGGTATTAGTATGAATCTTGATTCAAAATATCTGGTTACCCAGAAAAAACCTTATGGCACATACATGGATGCCCTCGCCCCATGACCTACACTGCTAAATGCCGCCCAAACCAAAAAAAAAAATGTCATCTTTCTCGAGTTCGTATGCAGTCTTTCACCATCGAATCCAAGCCCAATGCCTGGAAACTAGAAGGCTGCAGCATAAAGGGTTTTTTTTTCTTTTCTACACAACTCAAAGATGGGTTCATATCCTCAAGCATATTTCCATCTATATACAGCAATGTATCCTGAAATGCATTTAGAGACAATGTACTCATAATTGTAAACACAAACACAGAGACGACTAGGGAACGAGAGGATATTGGATTGACCATGTAGAATCAATCATCAGTTTTCAAATGTATATTGGTACAAAGGGTTGATCCACAAGTGACATAAATGAAACCCAGATCCGAGTTCATCATCATCTTACTCGCACATCAGACAACTTGAACAGGTGCTTTCACATATTCAACACTCTCAGTTCAAATCCCTCTCTTTGCCTGACGAATTTTACCTTCTATTTCTCCCGCATATTAATATGAGATCAAAGAAACAGAGCAATGGTCATAAAAATTCTCTGAAATCGGAGAAGTGAATCGATGATTATATCACAGATCCATGATTACCATCATCAGAGGCGTAGATCCGTGCAGTGGAAATCATCGCCGACGACAAAGAAGTCAACGCCGTTCGCCGGCGGTAAATTTAGGTCGAACTGAAACGGCAGTTTCCGGCGAGAAGACGACGCGATGTCATCTCCGTCGTCAACAACCGAAGACGACGAATCGCAATCGCTGTGACAGTCCTCTGGAACGACCGGCGGCGTCCGCGGGTATCTCTTCGTCGGTTTCGCTACCGATGTCGTCTGATTCGCTGGCGGTCGCGGCCCGCTGAAGGACTCGACGGTGCTGCTCATGCTGCTGCTCGCCGGCCGGCTGATGATCGGGAACTGCTCCGGGAAATTTCCGGTGTATAACCGATGGTCCATGAACGGATCAATCCGATTCTCATTCGCCGGGAAAGGAAACGAACACAGATTTGGATTCTGCTGTTGTTGGTAGTGGTTGTGGTTGAGATGTTGCGGAGAAGACCGAGAACAATCGATCGGAAAATTGGTCTTCGCCTTCGGACCTCGTAGCCTACGCGCGGCCGTGTCGTAGGCGCGTGCGGCTTCTTCGGCGGAGTCGAAAGTACCGAGCCAAACACGAGATTTCTTCAACGGGTCACGGATCTCTGCAGCGAATCGACCCCACGGTCTCTTCCTTACGCCTCTGTATCTTGGTTCCTTTATAGATCTGGGGTGATTTGCGGTGGCTACGGGGACGACGGCGGTTGCTCCGGCGACGGCGGAGGATCCTCTCCCTCTCCTCATACCGAAATCGAAATCAAATAGACAGTTGAAACCAGAACAAATGTGATCGACAGGAGATATGCAATAAGAATATGAGAAATCTGAGAGAGGAAGAGAGGACGAGAGAGAGAGAGAGTAGACGTAGGAAGAAGATGGAGGGTGGGGATGGGAACTCTCTTCAACACAGAGATTTTTTTTCCTTTTTTGATTAATTTTAATTCAAAAACATTTCTTAATGTTTTTTTTTTCCGATTTCCAATTTTCATTTTTTGATTATTATTATTATTATTATTATTATTATTTATATCATTTTTCGAGGCTCTTCGTGGACCTCTCCAGCGTCTGCGTCTCCACAAGACCTACGCCATTTCTTTCTTATTTCAATTGTTCCATTTCTTTTTTATTTTTATTTTTTCCTTTATTGCTATTTCCTTTTCATTCTTATCTTTATACACACGTATCTATATCGAACATATACGTAAAAAAAATAAATTTAAGGTTATTGTAATAAATTCTAAGATATAGAGGATTCATAATAATAAAAAGCTACATGATTTGAACAAATGAGGAATAAATTGAAAATCAAGATATTTGTATTTACAGGTTAAACAAACTGAATTAATTAACATATGGTTAAAAATAAATAATATATTCAATACAAATATACTATTCACTATCTATCTTTTTATCTTTTTTTTTTTAATTTTACTAATATCATTCTTCATTTTTATTATTGTTTTATAACACACATCATTTTCTTTGAAATTAATGCGTCTGAAAAATTCATCTGTATTGACTTTTCTGAAATAATAAATCAAATCTGAATCAAATTCAAAATAAATTTGAATAAAATAAATCGAATAAATATAATTATTATGAACATATATTTAAAATAACTAGAATAAAATATAAATTAAACCCAAACATGTACAAGTAATTCTAAAATAAAGACGCAGCAAAGTAATTGTTCAGTTCAGCCTAATCCTTTGTGAATTCCTCATATGTCATATTTCACGCAAAATTTCAAGATTTTTTTTATAGAATTAAAATTTTCAAAATCCATGAACCTAATTTTATAAAATTTTCAAAAAAATAATTTTTTTAACAATCATTTTTTTTTATAAAAACCCAAAACCAAACCGAACTAAATAATATTCTATACTAATTGGTATAAATTTTAAAATACCGAATAAATTATTCTTTAACCGAACCATTAAAATTACAAACCTAATTTCGAAACATCTAATATATGTGCATACAGTAATTATAAGAAGAAATTGTTTTTATTTTAAAGAAATATTTAAGAAAATAGCTATATATTTTTGTGTTTTCTCACTCTAGAGGAAGAAAAAAACTTTTTATTGAATTAATTCATTGGTTATTAGTTATCTATTTTGAGGTTCTTATTAAATTTTGGTAATGGTAACATCATTTATTGGTCACTACCTATTTTACATATTTTAATATCAATAGTTATAACTTTTTAGAAGTTTTATCATTTGACTTTTTCCTAATAATCGATATGCGATCGATATAATAGAATATCATTTCTATCCGGCAAAAATAAATTTTGAATTTTTATGTAGATTTATAACGAGATTCGCCTTTATCCTTATTTTTCACATCATTGGTTCGTAACATGTTTTTTTTTTCTTATATGCCATTTCAATTATTATTATCAATAAAAAGTCTAATATTGCAATTTGTGAAAGTATAAATTCGAATTATAATTTTTTTTTTTATCTTTTTGACAGTTTTGTTAATTATTTGTGAGGGAAGAGTTATCTCGATACACGCGTAGAACAGACACATGCACTTGCTCTGAGGCCTGCAAAATTAAATAATTTTAGTATGAAATGACTAAACAGTCCTCATCCTTTTCTTTTCCATTATTATTATTATTATTATTATTTGCAAGTTAATGCGTGGTGGTGGTGATGTAACTAATACGCGTTTGGGGTTTCTCCGTGTGAAAGGTGACAACCGAAAGATAGTGTGCTAATCTAATTATTATACGCTTCCACGTTTTATTTTCCTTTTGAAAATTCCTACAAAGTCGGCTTCACAAATTATTTTTACATTTTCATATTTTGCTCGTTTGAACGATAATTTCCCCCTCTCAATGTGAAAAAAAAATAGTTTGTATTATTAGGAAACAATAGTTTAATTATTTTTTAAAAATATTTATAATCTGCAAATGACAAACTTCAAATATTCGACAACACCTATCTTTTTATAAATAAGTTGATGTTTTATATCTTTTCATGTTGTATATACCTTGTATCTTGATCAACGGTCGTGACTAGGGGTGGCCATTTCGGTTATTAACCGAATAACCGAACCGAATAAGATATAACCGTACCCGAACCGAACCCGACATCAAAGCCGAACGGTTATGATTTCCTTAAACCTGAAAAACCGAAACTGAAGCCGAACCGAATAAAAAATCACCGAAAAAACCGAGAGAATAACCGATATTTTCTTTGAAAAAATTGAACTTTTTATCAAAACCGAACCGAACCCGAACCGAAAAATAACCGAACTGAACTGAACCGGAATTTATATAAAAACCGAATGGTTATAGTTTTTCTATAACCGAAATAACCGAATCCAAATATAATCGAACCGAACCCAAACCGAAAACCGAATTGGCCACCCCTAGTCCTGACCACATATATTATAATTGCATATGATATATCTACGATCGAGATCACATCATGCATATCGATGGTGGATATCGCATCTCATCGTCAATGGCCGTGATCACATCTATATTATCTACATAAAGATTGCATATCACGATCTACGGTCAAGATCTTTCAAGCTGATCGACGGTCGAGATTGCATTTAAAGTATCTATGGTCGAAATTCGTTAATACAGATTAAAGAACACATAAGACTGATTCAAAACATGCAAGGAATGAGTTCAAACACATAAAGACTGATTCACCAATAGCATCAAACAACTTCAGATAACTATGAAGTGAAGTGAAAACACCCATGCTGTCCTAAAATCATCCCTCAAAGTGCCAAAGTTGCAAAAAAAATATAAATATAAATAAAAGTAAATCTATCATTTTATCTTTTATCTGAAAGGATGACCTTATGGAATATGATTTTTGCCATATCGCAAGCTTTTGTACCCCCTATGACCAAAAACTCTCTAAAATGAAAATATCCCACTTGCTTACCTCGAGTCCTTTTTTCCGGAGATCTTGCGGTTGCAGGCCGAAAAAACTCTTATCTCTTCACAGTAGCCTGCTGAGGGATTTGATGAGCAACTTCAGGTTTTTTCTCGTCGCCTCATCGCCCGTGAATCCCAGAACATCCGAGCTTATGTTCTGCAAACAATGAGAGGAAGAATTCACCAAAGAGAAGAAGAGGAAAGAGCTAAGAAAATGGTTTGAGGGTTGCAGAGTTTGTACATGTATGTATCTCCATATATGTAAAAATTGGTTACCTCGATGTTCTTCAAAGTGAAAATCAGAGTGTAGATCGACTTCTGAATGAGTTCAGTGTTCTCAGGAGTCATTATGGATGAATTAACCCTTCTGAAAAGGGGAAAAAAATTCCGTAAGACAGCATATCTCATATTCAAAATGCCTTGGAGAATAAAACAGATCTCATAATCCATTGATATTTTGCTGTTCTTGAGCTTTTCTGAGGCATGCAAACAATCGTTAGGTTCACAAAATGTCGGGTCTAGATCATTATAGTTGTCAATACAAATCAAAGGACTTCAAATCAAAAGAAGGTAGACAGGAGGGTCAATGGAAAATACTGAGATATCAGTCAAGAGCCCAAGTGAATCAAACAAAAGAAAATGCAAGGAAACATGGGTCCAAGAACCACTAATACAGGGGATACAGAAGCTTAATTAAGGCAAACGGGAAAAGGGATTACTTTAAACAGGAGACAGACCGAAAGAAATGATGAGTATGAAACTCTATACAGAGTTCTGTATTATCACCATGCAGTAATCTGCCAGTTAGTCGAATCAGTAAAACAGATGGGCTTATCTAAAGTATAATGTACTTAAACTCATGATCAATTGACAAACAAAATGGTTTGTTTCTTGATCCCGATCCATATGCAAGGTAGTAAACTAAGAGGCACCGTCTGTAAACATGCAACTAAAACCTATATGACCATTGTACGGCTGAAGGCTAAAGATTTGTCATTTTCTGCTTCCTTGGGCATGGAGTAATGTCTGCTGCTCTAATGAAGCAGGGCGAGTTTGAAAATTGCAGTTTGGAATTTCTATTTCGAAGATTATATCTTGCTGTGGTCTTGGAGATGGAAGGTCTAAATCAATATTGAAAGATTATTAAGCCAAAGCAAGCATATGGGAGAAAACAGTCACCTCAAATCCTCAGAAGCTTGTGTTAAGCTTCGAGTTAGATTCTCGACTTCCTTAAGCAGGCCACTATCACGAAACTCCGATAGCAAAGGTTGAGCATCTTCAGCCATGGCTTGGATCTGAGACATCACTACAGCAAAACCCAAAATTTAAGCATGAGAATACATTTTATTTTTCAATCTTGAGCACATCTTATCAAAGAATGGATATAGCGTCATTGAATCAGCTAAAGACAAAAACAGTTACTCATATCACCTTTTTGAGCAACGGCTTTGCTTCTTCAATAACCGAAGCCACTCGTTCAGCTAGTAAATATGTATTGGCAACCCCAATCTCCTCCATTTCACGTCCGATACGAGTGAATATCCCAACAAGAACATCTAAACTTACTCCTTGATGTCCCTTTATCTTTTGACGGTCACAAACAATTAAGGCTTCTTTATCACACTCGGGATGCAGAGGCCCAACTGAAGGATCCGGAATCGGATCTTTTGGCGTAACGTCAATCATAGTTTCCATCAGAAGACCGGATTGATTCACCTCTACCAGTGAATTCCTCGGAATAATTATCTTGTCATCATCAATCTACAGAAACACAAGCTTAATTTTAGCCACAGTTCAAACTCAGACTCAAAAAACCAGCAGCAGGAACAAGCCCAAATGATCCAACCAAATCACTATTCCAAATCATACCTCGGTAACAGCTTCGATGTTCTTCAAGGAAGGATTGACACGGATGACATTACCGACATTCACTCCTCGGATCCTAACCGGTGTTCCAGTGCAGATGCCTGAGGCCTGAGGAAACTCAAAGACAGTCTGATATTTTCGGAACTTGGACCGCATCTGAAACCCACGTAACCAAGCCAAACTAAGAGCAAGAAGAGCAGCTCCGGACACAATAAACAAACCCACGCCACCTTCCCAAACACTTCGACGGCCAAACCCGAAATCACTCAGTGGCCGGAGAGTCTGCCTCCAAATATTCCTCGGCACATCCAAAACAACATTAGCCGGATTCTTACCTTCCGAGGAGGACGATGACTGCCCATGTCCCGCGTCAGAGCTAGACGAAGCTCTGACCGGAAAAACCCTAGTTCTAGATTTCGGCGGGAGACAAGGAAACCCATTTGGAGAAGGTCTTGGACAAGCAATTAACACCGACGATGATGGCGCTATACCGAGTGATGGAGGAGCCTGAACTAACAAATTCCCGATCATCCTCGAATCTTCGCACAGACAAAAACCCTTATCGAAACTAAACCCCTTTCGCGGGCAATTCCCAATCCCGAGCTGCTGCGGCGGAGATTTCCACCAAATGTTAGCAAATGAAATGGGAGAAGGCATGTAAATCTCATGCAGTATTCTATCCGATTCCGAATTGTTTTCAACTCGAGATTAGGGTTTCTGAGAAAGGAGAAAAATTTACCTGGGTTCAGTGACTAGGAATTGTGTCGTGAACCTGAGGATGTGTTATCCAGGGGTTGTTCGATTTCAGACGGCGAAGAACAGGAAAGCTTGCATCCCATCCCATGTGTCTTACCAAAAAAAAAAACAAAAAAACAAATTAAAAAAAGGGTAAAAGCGAATCCCATGTTCTGTAATTAAATTATAAAATGGACAGTCAGGGAGCGTAAATTTGCAATTTATGTCAAATCTTAGGGGCGTTTCTTCCAAATATCGTAGATCGTGGATTCGAGTTTGGGTAAATTCTAATTTCAAAATATATAATAAACTAAAATAAAAATAAAAATGTCATTCAAATCTGGATTCAATCGATAAAAAAACTCTGCTTGTTTTCTTAAAAAAATTCACATGTTTTCAATCCACAACGGTTCGATTAATCAATTTAAAAAACAGACATAATTAGAATTAAAATAGATTTTATTTTAAATTAAACTCCGTCCACGTAAAAAGTGATCGTATAAAGCTTGACAAATATATTAGTAGATTAATCAAGGGGAACATGGTTAACGAGCAAGGACCGGACACGATCGACCATCTTGGTCTTCTCGGGATAGCCACGGCCGTCACCGTACTGGTACGCGCACTGCGATACGCGCGCATAATTCATCGCAACCTGGACGAAATCCCGAGGGAGTGTAGACTCGCTCGCCATTTTCTCGTAGTTCAGCTCGTCCCATGCATCACTGATCATCCCCCGCATGTGCTCACGTGCCTCCTCCTCGGTAGCCCCCGTCTCGTACATGTAACACTGGATCGATTTCGGAGTATCCCCTCTTTCCATCTCCTCCTGTACACATTTATATTCTTGAATTAGTGGCATGGTAGTAACATAAGTTACTTGTTGAAATGCAATAACACGAGCCAGCTCGGTCCCATCCGGTCCGAGTTGTTGCGATCTCAGGGTTTTCGGGGGGAAAATCTCCCAAATAACCCACTTCATTCACATCTATTTCAGTGTACACCACCAAAAAAAAAAAATTTCAATTTTAACCCACTTTTCGGGTAGAAAAGTCCGAAATACCCTTTTCGTTTTATTTTTTGCGACTTTATTACGACTAACATATAACTGATATACAACTAAAATAAGGCAGATAATTTTTTTGCCACCTTTTTAAGAATCAATTGTAACTATATTTAGACTTAATTACGAAGTCGTAATAACGAAGTTGTTTTTGAATGGATAAATATTGTGATTCATTAAGGGTAATTTCGTCTTTTTACAGGAAAAAAAATGTGTTATGTTTTTGGTGGTGTACAGGTGAAATAGATGCGACCGAAGTGGGTTGTTTGGGTAAAAAACCCGTTTTCGGGCCCGGTTCAACCACGCCCGTTTCTTTAACGGACTAGAAAAATCTGGACCCGATCCACAGCTTGTGGTTTCTATCATTTGTGTCGTCTTAATTTGATAATCCTCTATTTATATTCAGTTATCTTAGAATTATGCTAACTAACCTCAAAAAAAAAAAAAAAAAATTATGCTAACTAAAATATCGAAGAAGTGGACGGTGAAGCTAACCGATGAAGTCGCCAGATCGTTGGCAAGACGTAGAACGGTCATGGAGGATTCTATGACAGATCTGTAGCTATCGGATGTGGTGTCCAAGTCTGTGTCAGAGTTCTTGTCGGAATAACAGGCACAGTACAGTTGCTGCAACACTATCGGGGCGAGAACCATCGTGTTTTGCATGTACTCGTCGAGACTCGGCTTGTCTCCATTCTTATACCATTTCGCCTCTCTTAAAAAGCATTTGCAAAAACCTGTCCACTGAAAAAACAAATATGAAAAAGGTGAGCATATATAACATTTGCATGTAGATCTATAAGGGTAATATCGTAAATGCTTTCATCTAGGGTTACACTATAAGTCTTCTATGATATATATATTGAAGGAATCCAAAACATATGTACTTACCGCATCTTTTAGATAAGGTATTACATTGATCCTTTTGTCTCTGACAACGTCAAACCCAATCTCATTGATTGTGTTGAATAAAACGAGAAAACAGAACCTCATATATTCAGGAAGTTCTTCCATGAGGTTCACATCCCACCTGAAAGCAAATCGATTTGGACAAAAGCCCGAATCATTAGGCATGGATCGATGGTCATATATATGGTCAATCAATCTTATTTACTTACTTTTCGACAGCCGCTGTAAATATTTCGAGCTCTTCCATGGTTCCGTATATGTCATATATGTCGTCGATCGTTGTCATGAACGAGAAAATCTTCGTCAGCATTCTTCTGCGGTATCCGAAACCAGGTTCATCGACCAGTGCAAGGCCCCATAAAAAGTTCTCCGTGATTCTATCTCTTGTAAAATCAAGTCGTTTCGCCAGTCCTATGTCGTTCCACCAGCTTCGTATACGAGAGAAAAATCGAAAAAATATATTATAGTTTTAGGATATATGACAGTGTTAGTTCTTACTAAGTTGTCAATCTAGCATATATATGCGTATACATACATATACACACACACACACATATCACGTTATGTACCTGGAGAGGTGCTTGAGGTCTTGTTGATGAACAGCTTGCAGAATGTTGAAGTCAAGCTTGGCAAATTCAAGCAAGAGAGGATTCATGTCATGCCTCTTACCGTACACATCCATGTACCAATGTGCTTCTAATCTTTTCACTCTCCAATGGTATGGCATCTCGAGGGCATGAATCACCATTTTCGTCATATAAGATTGAGTGTCATCATAATCGGTGTTCGATCTTTTTTCGAGAATTTCCCTTAGTCTCTCCGTCGCATAAGATCTAGCTTCTTTCAGTTTAGTATCCGATTTTGTTGTTAAGTATGAAGCTTCATAGAGAGAGAGGAGACCTTTGGAGTCATCATTTAAACTTGTCTCGAACTCCCCCGTCTTCTTTTCATTCATGAAAATGTTAAAAACATCTGCAATATATATATATATATATATATATATATATATATATATATATTCACCAAGAGGGTCATCAAAGGAGTCTACATCCATTTTACACATATCATTCACGAGAATCAGTTCGATTACCCAATAGATGTAAGTTTTCAAAAGCAATAGAAAGAATGTGACCCAACAGTGGGCGGCCCAGTGGCGAAGAGGTGACAAAGTCATCCTCGACGTCCTGGGTTCGAATCCACTGGTGGGGAGGAGGGGGCGCAATTAATTGCGTGTCTAAAGGCTGACTCCGGGCCCAGGGGGATTAAGTGGGCCGAAGGCCCAACGAACCTCCTGGTTATCAAAAAAAAAAAAAAATATGAGAAAAAATATCGGACATGTTTCTCTAACAATTTCATATGTGAACTAGAAAGAATGTGTTTTTAGGACATGTTTCTCTAACAATTTCATATGTGAACGATTTGTTATGACATAACGTGACGTGACATATAGTATATAACCTTGTGAGATGCTAAGACCATGTTGTCTGAGGAGTCGGAATTTTAGTGCAGTGGCATGTAAATCCTCAGTCTTTCCGCCTTTGTCGAATCCTTTCCCTTCCACGTTGTGAATTTCCGTCAAGATATCGCCAATTTCGCGTTCAAAATGATACGAAATTCCGAGTCTTTGTAACGCATCGATGAGCTCTAGCTGCTCAATAGAAGCCTCTGTCTCAACCAGCATCTTTCTCACGTCTTCTTTCAATAACTTTGCCCTCTCCCTCACTCTGCCTTCTTTCTGCATCATATCGTTTTATTGACATAATATATGCTTTGGTAATTTACCCAAAAAAGTATATGCTTTGGTATGCTTTGGTATTATTTTACTATGAATACTGAATTAATATATTAATCGAATTAATATTTATATATTTATATTAATGGAATACTGAATTAATATACATATATATATATATATATATATATTATATTACGATGAATACCGCGTATTGATTCTCGAGAGAGAGAAGGAAATTATGATCCCAAGAGGAGGGTGGATAATTTGCCGAGCGACGGATGACGACGGCAGGCTGATCCGGCGCAGTTTTATCGGCGGGGGGGGTACGATGAATACCGCGTATTGATTCTCGAGAGAGAGAAGGAAATTATGATCCCAAGAGGAGGGTGGATAATTTGCCGAGCGACGGATGACGACGGCAGGCTGATCCGGCGCAGTTTTATCGGCGGCCGAGCACCGGAAACGTGACAGATTGCGGTGTTTCTGCTTGCTTGACGGCCGAATTTTCGAAAAGACATTACAGTACGTAAGAGGTGAACCGATCTGAAGCAAAGCCATGGAAAGAGAGATGGGAAATGGAGAGACACTTGAGGTTTTGTTAGGACTACAAGAACATGTAAATATCCAATAAAAATTATAACTTGGTGAAAATCACTTCATGAGTTAGTCCAATGAACAATGCATAAGGCCTATTTATGGTGTATATGAGGAGACGTATTTATAACATTTTCATATTTCACTGTATATTCGATCACAAATAAAAATATGTAACGGATCCCAAATTTGTAGTATGTAATTTTCTCTAATTATTTTTTAGCAAAATGAAAGAAATCAAACTCCGATATTTAACTAAAATTTCAAAATAAACTAGGACGATCCGATATTTTTATGCACATAACTACATATATGTATCTCAAAATTATATCAAGAAAGTGTATTAAGTTATCATATGGATAGTTAAGATTAAAGTCAAACTCCAAGTGGATTGTATAATAATTTACTAGAAAAACTTGACAAACATGGTTTATTATTATTTTAGACATTAATTATGCCAACGACTTAAGTGGAAGAAACCTTTTATCACTATCTATACTATACGCGTGAATTATTTATGCATTGTATGTGTAGAAATAAATAAATAAATAAGAAAATGATAGACTATATAAATGGCTAATTCGTAGAAATTTAGAAATTTCGATATGATTTTAAGGTGTATAATTATTTTAAAAATATTAATTGATCATATTGGATAAATAGTTTATCGAAATATATTCTAAAATACAATAAACCAATAATGATTTCGGTTTATTTTTTTATAATGGTAAAAATATTCATTTTGATTAAAAAAATTATTAGAACACTATCACAATAATTTTTTTTTATAGAATTGTTCTAAAAAGCAATTTGAATATCTAAAGAATAAAAAAATAACTACCAACGCCTTCAATATATTCATCTAATATATATAATTAAAAGATACAAATAAAAACATGTCTCTTAAAGATATCTTTTTATAAATTTTTTTTTAAAAATTTAATATAAAAGAAATATTTTCTCTTAATATTTACAAACACATCTTTTGAATTAAATTTAAATAATATATTTTACTTACCTACGGTCTTTTGATTTAAATTAAAACTTACAAAAACACTCACATACAGGAATCATTACATGCGATACATCTTATCAATCTATTTGTATGACTTTTCATTAAAATTAAGCAAAATAAATTAAATATTGGTTACATATATTTTAATGTATATTTGGATGTGTTACTTTTAAACAGTTTATTGCAATGCAAAATGTTTATGGGTTTGTAAGTTGTAAATACTGGAAGCTAATCTTAGGTTTCTATGTTAGGGTAGAGGAGAACAACAAATTTATTCGAAATATAATTTTCAAATTAAAATATAAAACTATTGCGTCTAAAAGAACTTGTAAATAAAAAAAATGAAAAGGTACAACCCAAATTTTGGACAATTAATGTTTTCAAGAAAAATGTGTATATATCTTGAAACTTTATTATCGTGTTAATTAATTCTTAATAAAAAATTTATTTTTGAAAATTATTTCAAAAGCTCTGTTTTGACTTTTAGGGCCTCCAACTTGTTATTCGCATTTTATTCTCTTTTCATTTTTGTTATGATTAATATGCTCTTTATGCGAAACCGTTGGCAGACATTTGCTTTATGAAGACTCATATACAAATCAATTTGTTATCTTATTTATTAAATTATCTTTTTTTAGTTTAAATATTATGTAGTTTAATGGTATACTAGTCATATATATATATATATATATATTTTTGATACAGGTGAATTGCCGGCATTTGGGTTAGATGATTTATTGGTTTGGGTTGGGTCAACCCAATACCATCAATTAAATGGGCTGGGTCAAGCCCACAAAACCCACTAAACCTATTTAATTTTTAGATGTAACCAAAATGAGTGAAGCAACTCAACAATGTTGTACAATTTATAAATAAAATTTTTGCGTAATAAATTAAGAGAAATATTTTTAGTGGATGTTTTATTAAAATTATATAATAATAATATATATATATATAATAAAAAAAATAATTTCATATACACAGTTTAATATCCTAAAATTATAATTTTTTAACTATACCGAAAATCATCCAAAAATATATATAAAAAGATTCAATTAGATTACGTAGTCGATTCATTTTGAATCGAATTCGATTCAGATCAATTCATTTCTATTCGGACTGAATCGATTCATTTGTTTCGTTTCGATCCGAAATCGATTTGTTTGTTTCGTTCAAATTCAGATCGAATCGATTCGTTTGTTTCGTTTCGATCCGAATTATTTCGGATCGAATTGATTCGTTTATTTTGTTTCGATCCCGATTCGTTTGTTTCGTTTGAATTCGGATCGAATCGATTTGTTTGTTTCCTTTCGATCCGATCCAATTTGGATTGAATCGATCCGTTTGATTCATTCCAATCAAAATTTAATTTTTATTATAAAATTCCTATTTAAAAAATTCAATTTTTTCGATTATTTTTAAATTTGATTTGAATTCAATTTTATTTTTAAATAAATGCTCAATTTTGTATCGAATTTAAACATATATTATTTGGTTTGATTTAATTCTATTTTGATTTTAAAATATAAATATATATTAACTCTATTTATAAGTAAATTTTTATTATTTTATTCAATCAAAACTAATGAATGAATAAAGAATGAAATGATAATGGATTGTTTGGGTTATTTGGGTTAATCCATTAAACTCATAGGTTTAATGGGTTAAAACCTATTTAATTCATAAAATAATTATAAACAAAAAAGATAACCCAAATACCATAATAATTGGGTTAGGTTGGGTTAATCCATCTAACCCAATTCAATCTGACATTTATACTAGTTATATTTGCATTGCGACTATAATTACTCTAAATTAATTTATGTAAAAAATTAAAATATTATGAATATCTGCATGACAAAGTTTTCTAAATATATATATATATATAATTACAGGTTAATATTGAGGATGCTAAATTGATCTCATGGAAAAAATAGGTTTGCGTTTCTTGAATTTCTATAGTTTGCCCCTCTTAGCTAGACAAGAGTTTAGGGTGGGCAATCGGCTATTAACTCGGTTTTATTTGGTTAAATCCTGAATTATAAAATATTTGTGCGATTCGGCTTCGATACAAGCCAAGAAAATTATTCAGCTCCTAAATAAATATTTGTTTTTCTTTGTCAAAAATAAATAAATATTTGTTTTTAGTTCCTTTTTATATTGGATTAGGCCAGCTATTTAAATACACATCTCAACGGGTGAACCCAAACTAGATTTCGGTTTGCACTTAATGTTTTTTTTTTAATTTGTTTCAAAGTATCCAAAGCAAGTTTATAATATCTATTTCAAAAAAAAAAAATCTTATTATGATTTTTAGTAGATTAATCAAGTGGAACGTGGTTAACGAGCAAGGACAGGACTCGATCAACCATCTTGCTTTTCTCAGGAGAGCCAAGGCCGTCGCCGTACTGATATACGCACAGCGACGCACGTGCCAAATTCATCGCAACTTCGATGAAGCCCTTAGGGAGCGTAGACTGATCTGTTGCTGTCATCTCACGGTTGAGCTCATCCCATGCACCGCTGATCATCACCCTCACGTGCTCACGTGCCTCCTCCTCTGTAGCCCCCTTCTCGTTCATGTAGCACTGGATCGATTTCAGAGTGTCCCCTCTTTCCATCTCGTCCTTGACACGTTATATATATTACACTGTGTTAATCATGTCTGAAACGTGAACACTAACGATTGTAATATAAGAACTGAGATAATTCAACCTTTATATATGTTCTCATGTTGAAAATAGTCGATGAAACTAATCGATGAGGTCGCCAGATCGTTGGCAAGACGTAGAACAGTCATGGAGGATTCTGTGACAGATCTGTAGTTATCGGATGCAGTGTCTAAGATTGTGTCAGAGTTCTTGTCGGAATAACAAGCACAGTACAGTTGCTGTAACACTATCGAGGCAAGAACCATGGTGTTTTGCATGTACTCGTCAAGACTCGGATTATCTCCATTCTTATACCATTTTGCCTCTCTTAACAAACATTTGCAATAACCTGTCCACTAAAAAATGAAAAATGAAAAAGGTGAGGATATAAATCGTTATCATTTACATGTACGTGGACATATCTATAAGGGTAACATCGTAAATACTGTCATCTAGGGTTACGCTGAATGTTGTATGTGTTTGTTTTTTTAATAATACGGAAGTTCATCGGGTTTTTGGTATCAATCATTCTATCATATTCAACACGAGTAAAAACAAATGTGTTATAGAAATACGTACTTACCGCATCTTTTAGATAAGGTATTACATTGATCCTTTTATCTCTGACAACGTCAAACCCAATCTCGTTAACAGTGTTGTATAAAAGGAGAAAACACAACCTCATATATTCAGGAAGTTCTTCGAGACGGTTCACGTCCCACCTGAAATATATATATCATTACTCAAAGAGCCATATATATATATCATCAAGCAAGCGTATATACTTACTGTTCGATAGCAGCTGTAAATGTTTCTAGCTCTTCAATGGTACCATATATGTCATATATGTCGTCCATCGGGATCATGAACGCAAAAATTTTCGCCAGCATTCTTCTAATGTAGCCGGAATGAGGTTCGTCGACCAGTGCAAGGCCCCAGAAAAAGTGTTCAGCGATTCTATCTCTTGCAAAATCAAGTTGTTTCGCCAGTCCCGAGTTGTTCCACCAGCTTCATATACGATGGAACCAATAAAGATATATTAGTCTTTAGGATCAAGATAGTACAAGTTCTTACTTAGCCTTAAAAAAATGTTTTAGTAATGTTGTAGCCTAGAAAACATACTCAAAATCCATGAAAAAACAAAAAATTTTAAAATTGGAACTAAAGCATCCAGCGTATTTAAGCGAATTTTGATGTGATACATCAGGTTATGAATTCTTACCCGGAGAGGTTCTTAAGGTCTTCTTGATGAACATATTGTACAATATTGAAGTCGAGCTTGGCGAATTCAAGCAAGACAGGATTCATGTCATGCCTCTTACCATACACATCTATGTACCAATGTGCTTCTAACCTTTTCACTCTCCAATGGTACGGCATCTCGAGGACATGGATCACCATTTTCGACATATAAGATTGAGTTTCATCATGATCGGTGTTTGAGCTTCTTTCGATAATTTCCCTTAGTCTCTCCGTCGCGTAAGATCTAGCTTCTTTCAGTTTAGTATCTGATTTTGTTGTTAGGTATGAAGCTTCGTAAAGGGAGAGGAGTCCTTTGGGGTCTTCACTTATGCTTGTCTTGAACTCCCCAGCCTTGGTTTCATTCATGAAAATGTCAAAAACATCTGCAATATATTGATTAGTAACATTTATTAGCATTCATTTTACACATATCATTCATGTGAGCCAATTGGATTACCCGATAGATGTAAGTTTTCAAAAAGCAATACGAAATAATATGTTTTTAGGATATATATTTCTCTAATAATTTCATATGTGAATGATTTGTTATATAAAACAGTGAGGCTAGAGTAAATAACCTTCTGAGATGCTAAAACCATGTTGTCTAAGGAGTCGAAATTCCAGTGCCGTGGCATGTAACTCTTCCTTCTTTCCGCCTTTTCTGTCCACGGTGGAAATTCTCGTCAAGATATCGCCGATTTCGCGCTCAAAATGATATGAAATTCCAAGCCTTTGCAAAGCATCGATGAGCTCCAGCTGCTCAGTGGAAGTCTCTGTCTCAAGAAGCATCTTTCTCACGTCTTCCTTCAATAACTTTGCTCTCCCTCTCACCCTCTCTTCTTTCTGCATCATATTCAATATAAGCTTCGATACTATATATATATACCTCGATTTTATATCTTGTATTCGATCTAATTAAATTGCCTATCCTTTGTATTGACACATTCTTGAAAAATATAGATTAACACTTTCATGAGAAAACACATGTACGTCGTGGTACGTAGTTTAAACTCTTGCCTATCACTCGGATACGTACCGCGTATTTATTCTCGAGGGAGATTAGATAATTATGATCCCAAGGAGAGGGTGGATAATTTGCGGATCGACGAATGACGACGGAAGACTGATCCGACGCGGTTCTATCGGTCGCCGAGCATCTGAAACGTGACAGAGCGCAGTGTTTCTGCGAGCATGAAGGCCGAGTCTTCGAAAGGAAACTACAGTAAATAAGAGGTGAACCCAGCTGAAGCAAAGCCATGGTGAAACCGAGCTTACTGAGAGGCGAGTTACTTAGGGTTTTTACCAAGAGTTACAACTTGGTAAAAAAAAAATAACTTCATGAGTTTGTCGTAATGAACAATGTGTAAATGCATATTTATAGCACACGAGGAGACGTGCTTGTCACATTTTCATATGTCAACTGTGTATTCAATAATAAATAAAATTATTTAGCGTATTGCCGAGTTTATAGCATGCAAAAGAATGTTATGAGCAATTTTCTCTAATTAGTTTGAGCAAAATGAAAGAAAATAAATCCTGAATTTTACCTATTTTTTTTCGAAACAAGCTACAACCTCGAATTTTTTGTGCACGTAACGATATGAACATAAAAATTATATAAAGAAAATGTAGGAGTTTGTATATAAGCAGATTTTTTATTATTATTATTGATAGTATATATGGAAATGACGATGCAGATGGCAATCACAGCACTAAACTTCTGCCAGAAGAGCCAACATCGTGATCTCACTTGCTATATTCAACATGTATGCATCAAGGAAAGATTGCTAAATCAACACCAAGATCACCAGCAACAAGGGAACTTATCACTCATCCAATATTCTGCAAATATATAGATTGATCTCTTTCCATTTTAGTCATCAGTATAGACGTTAGAATATCATTATATATGTCATGTTCTTCAACAGCTTATGAATAAGAGAAATCCTTTCTTCTAATTTCTGGAAACGTTTATGGTATCAGAGCATTTACGTTCCAAACACTGATCTTACTTCTGTTTCTGATCTTAGTCTTCCTTTTCGCCAGCCCTCTTTTTGTGCAGCAATGGAAACCCAAACTAAGATCATACCTGTTGTTCTCCATGGAGAAAACTACTTTTATTGGTCAAAAGCGGCTAAAGCTGTTCTCCGCAGCAAAGGCCTCTGGAATCACATTACACAAGCTGAATAGACTCCTTCGGCACCTGCGAATCCTGAAGCACCAGCACTCGACCAAACTGCTGAGAAAAACAAATGGAGTCAGAATAATCAGTTGGCTCTTACCATCTTACAAAGTTCCCTTGATGAAAATCTTCTCAAGTCGTTCATTTCTCCAGAAACGGCTAAAGAACTTTGGGATGCTCTTCAAAAGGTGTATGATAATCTGTCTAACCTCTGCCGTGTCTTTGAAAGTAAGAAACGTCTGTCTAACATGCAGCAGAATGGCAAACCTTTCAACCTAATTCATGGTGAAGTTGCTGCCCTTTGGACTGAATTGGAAGATCTTCGCCCCACTACTAATGATGTTGCTGTTTTTAAGCAACGCCTGGAGGAAGACAAAGTCTTCTCCATTCTGCTCACTCTCGACAGCTCTTACAACGACATGATTTATCATGTTCTTCGTCAAGACAAGCTTCCTTCGTATGATGATGTCTGTATGCTCCTGAAACGAGAAGAAGGTGGTCGCCATCTGTTTGCTGGCCCAAGTGAGCTTGCTCACTACCGTCAAAACCTCCCTTCTCCTCCGCCAATTCCTAAGGAAAAGAAGCATTATTTCTGTGACCATTGCAAACGCTCGGGTCATTCAAAAGAACGATGCTGGCTTCTCCACCCTCACCTAAAGCCTGCCAAGTTCAAGGACGCAGCCCCTCTCCGTGGCAAAGCCAATACTGCAGACACGGTGACTCTTACCTCATCGGACATGACTGAACTCAAGCAACTCCTCCTTGCCTTAAAAGACAAGGAGAATGGTAATCTCTCTTCTGAATCAAACTCTTTTCATACCAAATTAATCATAGATTCTGGTGCAACAAGCCATATGATCAGCAATACAAATTTACTTCAGAAAATTAAACAAATTCATGGGCTTGTATCAGTTGCAAATGGTCACCATGTTCCAATTCAAGGAAAAGGGAAACTCAATCTGTATTGTGGACGCCTTTTTAGTGCCTGATTTTTAAACAAATCTCCTATCCATTTCTAAACTTACCTCTGATTTTCCTAATTGTCACTTTCAGTGCTAATGATGTTACTTTTCAGGATACTGACACTGGTCTTGTTCTCGGCAAAGGGTTCAAGCGGGACAATCTGTATCAATTTTCTGATCATTCTGCTTCTGTTTTTTCGAGTATTGAATCTGGACTTTCTTCTCTTTGGCACCACCGTTTGGGCCATTGCCATTCGAAGGTGTTACATTTGTTGTTTCCGAACATTAAGTTTGATAATAAGACCTGCGAACCTTGCATTCTTGGAAAACATTGTCACAGTGTTTTCCCACACTCCACGACTACTTATGCATCCTGTTTTGATCTTGTCCATTCGGACGTCTGGACATCCCCGTGTGTGTCTCATGATCAATTCAAATACTTTGTTACATTCATTGATGAAAAATCCAAATACACCTGGATTTATTTTCTGATTACTAAATCTGATGTGCTCCACGTTTTTAAACAGTTTCATGCATATGTATCTAACCATTTTAATGCAAGGATAAAGATTTTGCGAAGCGATAATGGCGGTGAGTATATAAGCAAAGCATTTCAGGCATTTACAGCAGCCAATGGGATTGTTCATCAAACCACTTGTCCCCACACGCCTCAGCAAAATGGTGTCGCCGAGCGGAAGAACAGACACTTACTTGAAGTCGCCAGAACGTTAATGTTCTCCAAAAATGTTCCGACCTGCTACTGGAGTGATGCAGTTTCAGCTGCTTGCTACACTATCAATCGCCTTCCAACCAAAATTCTCAGTGATGTTTCTCCGTATGAGGTACTCCATCAACAAAAACCGGATATTTCTCATATGCGAATTTTTGGCTGTATATGTTATCCCCTGCTTCCAGATGAACACAGACGCAAACTTGATCCCAAAGGAGTCAAGTGCATTTTCCTTGGGTATCCTACAAATCAGAAGGGTTACAGGTGTTTCCATCCTCCGACTCGTCGCTTATACACTTCGCGAGATGTTCGTTTCCTTGAAAACGATTCGTACTTCAGCGCCTCAGATCAATCCCCACCTGACGCCACTATTTCCTCTGCTTCGAGTTATAATCAAGCTGTGTTTCGCCTTCTCTCTGATGCTTTCCGATCGCCTAGCCACTCAAACCCAGCACCTCCACCTCCGCCTTCAGTTCCTGCACAACACGACACTGAGGTAAGTTCTCCTGTGTCTTCCCATTCGATTAATACTAACTTTCAACCTCCAAATATCATAGCAACCCAGGAAGATATTACGCAGCCAACAATTCCGCCTCAAGCAGATCCCACTACAGATTTCCATGAAACCCAGGAAACGATCCCCCCTCAATTATCCTTTGACAATGTTCCAGCACCTATCGCTACTGGTCCTCGACGCAGTGAACGATTACATTTAAAAGCTCTTCGACGTCAGGCCACTGGCTCTGGTCCGTACCATCGTCTGGCGAATACAAATGTCGAGGCCACTCTTGCTGTTGTACCTTACACTGGAAACTCTTCATCTATTTCCTCTTATATTACTTATCCCATTGAATCCTGTTGTTAGATTAACCATTTACCTGCAAATGAGCTTTCCTTTCTCAGACATATTGATCAGGATCAGGAGCCAACATGCTACACTCAGGCTAAAGTTCACAAAGTCTGGCGTGATGCCATGCACGCAGAAATTGAAGCATTGAACAGAAACGGCACCTGGGACATCACAGACCTTCCACCACACAAGGAAGCAGTCAAAAGCAAATGGGTCTTTAAAATTAAACGTCGTAGCAATGGCGACATAGAACGCTACAAAGCTCGACTCGTCGCCAAGGGCTTTACCCAAAAATACGGGGAGGATTATACCGACATGTTTGCTCCTGTAGCAAACCTGAAATCTTTTCGTGTCTTATTATCTTTGGCTACTAATCTTCATTGGACTCTTTGGCAATTAGATGTAAAAAACGCATTTCTTCAGGGGGATCTTGAAGAGGAGATTTATATGGAACCTCCACCCGGGCTTCGTGATACCCTAGACAAGAACAAGGTCTGCAAATTGCGAAAGTCCCTCTATGGCTTGAAACAATCACCACGAGCCTGGTACTTCCGCTTGCACACTGCCCTCACGGATAATGGTTTTTCCCGCAGCGAGTCTGACCATTCTCTCTTCACTAAACGAACAACTAACGGTATCATCATTGTCTTGATTTACGTTGATGATATCATCTTATCCGGTGATGATTCTGTTGGGATTGCTGACACTAAGCACTTTCTTAACTCTCAGTTTGATATTTCGGATCTCGGTGCCTTACATTATTTTCTGGGCATCGAGATCCTCCGTTCTACTAATGGCCTTTTTTTGTCACAGCGGAAGTACACACTCGACCTTCTCCGCGAAACAGGGAAGCTGGCTGCGAAACCGGCGAAAACCCCTCTTGAGACAGCTTACAAGGACCTTCGACAGGGGGAACAATTTCCTGATGTGGAGCAGTATCGCAGAACAGTGGGTAAGTTAATTTACTTAACCATAACCCGTCCTGATCTTAGCTTTGCTGTGAATCAGGTTTCACAATGGATGCATTCACCGACACTTGACCATTGGCATATGGTTGAGCGAATTTTAAAGTACCTGAAAGGCACTCCAACACATGGCATCTGGATGCGCTGCAACAATGCTACAAATGTCACCGCATACTGCGATGCCGACTGGGCCGGGGATCGCACTGACCGCAAATCCACATCGGGATACTGTACCTTTGTCGGGGGCAACTTAGTTACATGGAAAAGCAAGAAACAGAGTGTCGTCTCTCGTTCAAGCGCCGAGGCAGAGTACAGATCGATGGCAAACACTGTCTCCGAAATGCTGTGGCTACGAACACTTCTTTCTGACCTCGGCTGCTCACCTCCGACGCCTATGCCTCTCCATTGTGATAACCAAGCTGCCATCCACATTGCTGCTAACTCCGTCTACCACGAGCGCACAAAGCACATCGAAGTCGATTGCCATTTCATCCGCGAAAAGATCAGAACCGGCATCATCTCAACCCATTTCACCAAGAGTTCTGATCAGCTCGCTGACATTTTCACAAAATCCACCAGTGCCACCATATTACAGTCGTTCCTTCGCAAGCTTGGTCTCGTGGACAACCACGGTCCAACCTTGAGGGGGAATGATAGTATATATGGAAATGACGATGCAGATGGCAATCACAGCACTAAACTTCTGCCAGAAGAGCCAACATCGTGATCTCACTTGCTATATTCAACATGCATGCATCAAGAAGGAAAGATTGCTAAATCAACACCAAGATCACCAGCAACAAGGGAACTTATCACTCATCCAATATTCTGCAAATATATAGATTGATCTCTTTCCATTTTAGTCATCAGTGTAGACGTTAGAACATCATTATATATGTCATGTTCTTCAACAGCTTATGAATAAGAGAAATCTTTTCTTCTAATTTCTGGAAACGTTTAATTATTATATAAACAGAATTTTTTTAAAGTCAAGGGGATCGTATAATAATTTACTAAAAAAACGAAACAAACGTTGCTTACTATTAGACATTACTTACACCAACCACTTAGATTGAAGAACCTTGGCTTCTATCATTATTCTTACTCACGAGAATTTTATTTTGCATTGTAATATGTCGGACTCGATTTTTTATGATCATTTTATAGAATAATAAAAAACAAAACAAAATATTATCTGTATTTTGATGAATTATATATACCGAAATTATGAACCAATAACTGATAAAAAATTATCGATTTGTTATATCGATTTTTGTGAGCGATTATTGCTGTGAAAAATGTTTATGGTTCGGAAAATATTTGAAATTAATGTAAGGTTGGTTTTTTTGAAACGTTCATAGAAGGGAATAAAATAAATATTCGAAATATAATTTTAAAATGAAAACATAAAACTAAAAAAACTTAGAAAGAAAAATGTTAAAGGGGATATGTGACTAGGGGTGGCCATTTCGGTTATTAACCGAATAATCGAGGCGAACCGAATCGAATAAGACATAACCGTACCCAAACCGAACCCGATATCAAAACTGAACGGTTATGATTTTCTTAAACCCGAAAAACCGAAACCGAACCGAACCGAATAAAAAATAACCGAAAAAACCGAGAGAATAACCGACAATTTCTTTGGAAAATTGAACTTTTTACCAAAACCGAACCGAACCCGTACAAAAATAACCGAACCGAACCGAACCGGAATTTGTATAAAAATCGAATGGTTATAGTTTTTCTATAACCGAAATAACCGAACCCGAATCGAAACCCGAATTGGTCACCCTATATGTGACAACCAAATTTCGGACCATTAGTTAATATTTACAAGAAAAATGTGTGACATATTTAAAACATTATTACTGTGGCAGCTAATTCTTGATTAATTTATCGAGATGGAAGTTATTTCAAAGTTCTATTTTGACTTTAGTGGTTTCAAACTTGTTCATATTTTATTATTTTTCTTCATTTTCTTTTTGTTATAGATCACTTTAATATATGTTAGCTTCTAGATTTTTTTCATTCCAAGTAAGGTGTCGTCTATCTTTTTTTTTTTTTTAATAATATCCTTTCTATAACTCTGCACCTATAAGAATCACTAATATTTTCCCTCGACAATACCTTATCTTAAATGGATTTTGTGTTATTTAAATATATACTATGAAATATTGGTACAACAAAGAAGAATCTAAAGGAGGAAATTTGGGGTATGGATGAGGTTTTATTACATCCAACCTGTGATAAATTTCTTATTTGTTTTGATCCAAGAAAAATAAGGCAACAGGAAATCGAGAATAAATCCTTGAACTCAATTCTTTTGGGCAAAGGGCATCTTCACTTCGAGGAATTTGTTCCAAAATCGAAATGGGATTTTCGCCCGATGCCCAAAATTCGAATTCGAGATGATGACGGAAGAAGCTGGAGAGCGTGACGAGACACTAACCATTTCATGATGATATATAATCACCATGAAAACATATCAAGGGACAACAAGTACGGTCTACTGCCCCAAATTTAGGTAGTAACACATATTCTTATCTTGAGTTTAAATTCAAATGTGGGAAGGACATATATCTGTACTTTATCGATCTTCTGGATTTGGGTTAAAATCACGGTGAACTTATATATTATAAACAAAGTACGGCCGTTAGCTAACATGCCCATGCGGTCTTACGTGACGCAGTTATGGTGTAGTACCTAAAGAACACAATCCTCAAACACGCGCAAAACTCTCTTAAACCCGTTAGGTCAAAGGTCAAAAGCCTTTGGTGTTGGAGTTTATGGCTATTGCAAGTGCAAATACCTCTCTTGGTCTTCACTCCCACCTTGTTTATTCCCAGAAACCCGACACCAAGACACTCATAACACAATCCCCAAACACGAGTAAAAGATTCGATGACCTAATTTCCAGAGTTTCTTTCTTCGTTCTTGCAAGGTATTGTTGATGATACTTGTTGTCTATGCCACTTACTCGGATGGGTGAGTGTTTCAGTTCATTGTCGGATCCTCTGCGATGTTCCTCACCATCCGACAAGTAGTAGCTTCAGAAGAGCCATCCTAATGAACAGACCGTTCTTAGCTTGTCTGAAGTACGCAGCTCTTGGATCAGCGTCAACTTCTGCAGTGATCTGTGCAAATATAATTACGATTTTTTTAGTTCAAAAGCTTTATGATTTATAGAGGAGAAAGACCTGGCAGGATACAGTGTTTGGTAACTCACTTCATCCAATCTTGGTAAAGGATGCATGACGATAGCGTTTTTCTGCATCACCGATAACAGATCCTTGTCTACGATGTACTTCCCACGAGCTTCTTCATAAAGGTCGGTCCTTTCCCCAAATCGCTCTTTCTGGATTCGGGTTTGATACACAACATCGCATTTGGACGCAACTTCCGTTAAATCGGCACTTTCTTCCCACTCAACCCCCATTGATGTCAAGTAGTCCTTAATATCATCCTAACAAGAAACCATTTCTAAGATGATAAGAACCATAGGCAATGACATTACACGCCGATTAAGACAACTATTGTTGTGAAATACTAACCTTCATCTTCACGATTTCAGGGGAGACGAAATAGATCTTCACGTCGTTAAACTTGGCAAGCAAGTAGGCAAGTGAGCGAACTGTCCTTCCATTGGCGAGATCTCCAACTAACGCCACACTGATGCCATCTAGTTTTTTTATCTCTCTTTGGATGGTATAAACATCCAAGAGAGCCTTTACAGATGCAAAAGATGGAGAAGAGACAAGGATGTGAACCCAAGAAATGTATAGGAACAATCCAATAGAATAGCAAGCAGATTATGATTGTTTAAGCGAATATAATTCTCGCCTTACCTGAGTGGGATGCTCTCCAGGACCATCTCCCGCATTAATGACAGGTATATTGGCAGTAGCAGCAGCCCTTCTAGCAGCTCCACTCTCAAAATGTCGCATCACAATTATATCTGAATAGCCCTCGACTGTTCTGATAGTGTCTGGAAAGTGGAAAGAATTCAAGGTTTTCCACACATAATCTAAGACAATTAAGAATGTTAAGTACAAATGTGATACTAGCTGACAAAGTGGATACCTTCGAGGGTTTCCCCTTTAGCTGCTGACGAAAATTCTCGGGCATTCTCGGTTGTTAAAACTTCTCCTCCTAGGCGTTTCATGGCAGATTCAAATGAGAGCCTCGTACGGGTGGAGGGCTCGTAGAAAAGAGTGGCCATCAAATACCCTTTGAGTATCTGACTTTGAGAAGAGCTCATTTCTATCTTTTCCATTTCACGGGCTACTTCAAATATAGCATCTAGTATCTCTCGATCAAATTGTTGACCTTCAATCACATCGGTGAGCTGAAATTTCTTGCCGGTCAGAGCTGACATCCTTGTTTCGACCTCGATAGCATGACACCTGATTCCCTTCATCAAAGAGACATTTTTCTTCTGATCTCTAGAGGCAGACCAAATTGTTGGATTGCAAAAAGGACTTGAGTGAAGACATGAAAACTCTCTGGTGCACGCAAATGCTTTTGGAAAAGCCGAGGCCCCACAAAGTGTGGCAGCAGAAAAGGTTGCCGACATTGTTCCTGGAAGCAGAGCGGTTGAACAGAGATCACCGAGAATTCAAACACCAGAATCCGGTAATATTCCGTACAATGGTACATGGAAAAAGCGGCAATAAGTTTCAGATATATAGTGACCACTCCAGGTTAAGGAAGAACGTGAAAGCATACGTTCAAAACAAACAATCCAACAGCGCAAACAGCGGTGAGAACACAAGGGTTAAATTCATAAACCATTACGTAAATATGGCTTTATGAGAAATCGAAACATGAATTCGTAAAGATGCTGGAAACAGTAACAAGCAACCGAATTTAGCAGTGAATGTGAAAACAAGTTTCTGGATTTTTCAAAGAGTTGCAAAATGGACCATGACTGTCAATATCCATATCTCATCCAGACACTGCATATCTGAAATGGGGATATCTCAATATCGCAGATATTCATGGGTATGTACGATACTAAACCAGATTTTCACTTGTGTTCATACGGTTTCTTTCTCAGCAACCAAACATCTTCAAAACCAGAGTAGAAATTTATGCAGGATGAAATCTAATTTTCAGGAAAAGATGACCCAAAACAAGATTCTTCAATTAAAAAACATATCACAAATATTCCAATTTAAAACAACATATTTAAGAAGATTATTACGTATCGTAGTTCCGTACATCAACCTTCATTCTAACACGAAGACAAAACTCGAAATTCAATTATAAAACACCCAATCTGCAAATACCAAACAATAAAATTGGATTTCGAACGAATACAGTGGACTGCAGTGCAGCTAAATGGCTTGAAATGGCAAGGAGGCACAAGAGGGAAGAAAAACCCGATGCCGAACTGAGAAGAAACTAAAAAGCTTAATCGAATACGTACGATGGAAAATACGGCGGAGGAAAATTCTCCGGCGAAACAGTTCAGAACGTGGCGGCGGCGGCGTAGGGTTACGGAGAAATGAGGTTTTAAGAGTACTATTGCAGAGCGAATTTTGTTTCAGGTAGGGGAGGGAAAAACAAAAAAAAATTGAAAAAATAAATAAATATCTTCCGCTTTGGACCTGACTGAACTCCATGGTTTGACCGGTTTATCCGGTGAAAGATGACGGTTAAGAATCTATTGATTTTAAATAAATTATATCTAATTATATATATTGAACTTTTATAGAAGATTTAATTTGACTTTATAAAAACTTATCTACTCATTAAAAATACTTAACTTAATAAAATCTATTTAATTTCATTTTAATTCAAATTTGGTTTGCTTTGGGTTAATGTCGAGTGGGGGTTACTTTGGCATCATAATGCATTTATAATATTTTTTTTTAATTTTTTTTTTAAATCGAGTAATTTAGTTCTATTCCATTTGATTCAACTTTGAAAAAATTTATTAGCTTTTAGACAAATAGACAAGTCCATAGCCGAATCTCGGAATTAGATTCCAAACCGTGAGTTCATGGGAAGAGGACCGGACAAGTCCATTGGGCTCAGCGGTCCATTTCAAATGTTGCCACTCTCTCACCCCTTTGCATGTCCTTTTACGAAAAAATGTTTTTGGCATTTGAAAAAGTATAAATTGCAAAGGTATACTTTTTTTTTTTACATTTTGTGAAGAACCCATATATTAAAAGATGTATTATAATTGAAAAAAGAAAATTACAACTCTTGACGTTGACACAGGACGGTATAAAAGACTTGCAAAGCAAGAAAGACACTTGGAAAAATAAACTAATAATCTCTCTTATTCTTGCCAATGAATCTCGGGTTTGAAAGCTTGATCCTTTCCCTGACAATGAACATCGGGATCGGAATATGTCTTGGGGATGGGCTACAGTTTCGCGTAACCGAACCATCAAAGAACTCCGAGTTCTGAATCTTTGAGGCCCTCGTCACCGAAGAAGTCTCGGAAGTACGGTCAAGTTTAGGACTCGACAACTTGGGTTCCCCTGATCGGATTGGTTCTGTCTCGATGTTCGGTTTCGAGCGGACTGCAGAAACCATAACATTCTCGTCCACTTGTACGATGGAATCTCGGAATACGAGGACGAAGCCCCTAGGATACGACGGGACTACATAGAAATCTCGGACGACAAAGGTGTGCCTTCCCATCATCATCATCGTCGTGATGTCGTCTGCAGAGTTGATAGAGAATCTCTTCGGCTCGTGGAGATCTTTTCTTTGGTGATGAATTGTGATGCAGCGTCGTTAGGCAGAGGGTGATTAATAGGGTTTCTATAGTGCACTCTTTTCTTTTTTTTTTCTTCTTTGATAAGGATTAATTAACTTGAACAAAATTTAAACGTGTTTCCTTTTTCTTTCCAATTTATATAAAAAAATATTTTATATAAGAAATTTTTCTCGTGTTTCTTATCTCTATGTTGCTTCCATTTTGATCGAAGTGGTTGTACGTGTGGAATTTTTGGGCCTAATTCCAGTAGAGACGGAAGCAAATCTATTTCAATATTTTATTTATAAAATCTCATAATAACACTGAATTTATAAAAAACAAAAGATTACATATATAATTTATTAAAGTTGTGTGATTTTATCCGAATATGATATTAAAGAATCTGAAACTTATATTTTTTTTTTCCATATTAATCAGTGATTTTGTTGATCAAATCTATTTTGTAAATGGCTCGTTCACCGGACCAGAAAAGGGGTATAGATCATCGATCTTTTCCGTTCAAGCAGCGCAATTTTCGCCAAGTTCACGACCCAACCTGACGAGCTCACACGACGAGAAAAGGAACTATATCGATGAACGAACATTGACATAACAGTATAAGAGTCTCCGTTAACAATGGTAACAAAAAAACATACGATACGATACATGCACTGCGAAGACGGACAGCTCGCTGGCTCGGCTGCGTCACGGGGAAGTTTATTATTACTGACATCTAAACAATTCCATGACGGGTTTTCCTTGCTCGGTCTTGCAAAACCTCTGACTCGGCCTCAGGCTCGAAAGATGATAGAGCAATTAACCTAAATCTTCTGTTTAAGAACATGCTTCAACTGGACCTTCTGGCTTTCGATCCGTGCTTCTATGAGTTTCGCCTTCAAACTGTTCTTCTGTGCACCCCTCGGCCACTCAATGCACCCTTTCATCCCTCGGTTCATCGCTGAATCAGGTGAACTCCATTGCCCGACCAAGTCCATTGGGCTGAATCCTCCTCCTCCCTTGCTTGAGCTTCTCTCGGGTGAAATGACGACCCCCACGTTTGATTTTCTCGTGTTCGAAAACCTTGGGTTCAATCCATCCATTGATATTATCTTGTAGCTTTCCCCGTTGTTTCCACCCGACCTCCAGAGCTTTGCTATCGACGATACCTTTTTGGATTGCCTCCTCGGGACAGAACACACTTCGCTTATTTCTGTAACTGGAGTGTCTTCGTACCCTTTTCCTTCGTATTCCGAGCCGCTCATGGATATGTTACAGTCACGATGATTCTTGTTGACCGAAGGGATGCTCCCATCGGGTGAGTAGCTTGATCCTTGTTCTTCAAGATGGCTAACTGTTTCCCACCCGCTTTCATCTTCCTCTATTTCTCCATTCTGATCAGTAAACGCGTTAGAATGTCGCTCTTTGTTGGTCATATTGATATCAGGACTGACTGTATGAACCTTCGAGGCGTGGCTGGCAGGACTGTAAGCGCCACATTGCTCGATTTCTCTATCGTGGGCTTCACCCAAATTCATATCTTCGAACACAGAGAAGATATCGTCAGAATTCGGGGGTTCATATGTAAATTCCTTGACTTCTTGGATATTAACAGATGCAGCAACTTCTCGAAGTAATTCCGCCTCTCTCACGTCCTTCACGTCTGTGGTTCCGCATCTTGATCTGAGGAAGGCTTCCAGATTTTCGACAAGCTTATTCATTTGTGTATACTTCTCTTCAAGAGCTACTTTCGCGTCGATAAGCTTCATCTGGACACGTTCTTCACGCCAGACCTCGGCCATCTGTAGCATTTTCCTTTCTTCTTCTACTTCCTCTCTGAGTTTCATCGATTCCCTCTTCAACTCTTCAATCTCGGCTTTATCATCTCCTATTTCCTTTGCAAGCTCATCGCAAACCTCCTCAATCAATTCCCTCGCCTTCCTTTCCTTTTCGTAATCCTGCATGTAACGCTTTACTGCAAGCTTTGTGTCTGCAAGCTCATTAACTAGCTTTAGATTGACGATTTCTAATCTCTGACGAGTTTTCTTTTCCCGATTCATGTCGGCTTTCATGTCATCGATGATTGCTCGGACCTTCTCATGCTCCCTGTGCCGCCATGCTGCCCTCTCCTCGCTAACTTTCCTCAGAAACTGTTCAAGCTTCTTTTTCTGTGACCGTTTCTCGTTCTCAAGCTCATCAATTCGAGCATGAGCCTCCTCCAGTTCTACTTCAAGTGACGAAACCAAAGAAAAAGCATTCACTTGCCGGTCAATCCGCTTCATGTTGCTGTAGATTTGGTGTACTTCATCCATTGTATCCAAGCAGACAGGATCCCATTTTGTCGCCCCTTCCATCGCAGAGTGGGGAAATGGAATTGATGGCTCGGGCTGAAAAGAAAATAAACAATAGAAAGTTTGACATCAATTAAGATTTTGAATTCAATAGAAACGTAGTTAACAAAGTCTTCTGGGGATCGGGACAAGCAAAAGCCTGTAGGCTGAGAAGGAAGGTGTAAAAGTTTCCATGTAGCAGAATGTTATTAACAATAAAACCGAAACTAGACGTGATCCAAAGCATAATAGAGACCAAATAGAGACCAAGACAACAGAAACTAGCAAGTAAAAACTCTTGATTTCTTAGAATTATCATCTCCATCTCATTTTAAGTTTTTCCTTATCTGCTGCCTGTAGGAGAGAAAGCATATCTAACTACATCATACTATACCCTGCAAGATATAACAATGGTTAGAAATCACGACAACACGGAATTTACGACTAAATATGGCAACCCATCACACTACCCATTTTTCAGTAAAACTTTAGGGTTTGGAAAAACATCTTCGAGCAAAAGCCCTTAAGAAAAAAAAACTTTTTTAGTCTTTTGAAAGATTAGCTACACCGAAAACATGGATAGCAAAGGTTGATCAAATTCATTTCTTTTTGAGTTTATGCCACATGGTGTGTGCTTTCTGAAGTGATTCCATTTAGTGTTCTGTAGATAACATCTTCAACTAGATAACATCTTTGTGTAGAAGATTGAAAAGGGCAAACACACCTTGCGCAAAAATCCATTTTTGGTTGCGGCGACAGAACTAGGACTCTGTCTTATTGCATTGCTGCTTTGATGTCCATGGAGTTTGTTGCTGTGATGATAAAGAAATGGAACACCCATGTATCCAGTACCTCCCTGCACGAAAACAACAAAGAGAACTTAAAACGGTAAGATCACAAACTGAGATATACTCCCGTGAGACCCTGATTCCAGATACCTGACCAAACATCGGTAAGTTTTAACGAGTTTCAGATTGTAGATGTCGAAAATTAGAAACCTTCTTATAAGCGTAATTAGTGATCAGACCCTTGAATCAACCTCAAATGAATGGTCAACTAAAGAGCTGGAATTTTGATTTTTCACACTCAAATGTGAGCTTGTGTTTCATTAGAATCAAATAGTGCTCGAGAGAGGATCAAATATTCGGATCTTGGCAAGAAATTACATCAAAAAAACAACTAGGAGACGAATTAAACAGCTAAAACAAATGATGATTGCCATGATTAGCAACTAATCAACCCAGCTGATTAAGATTTCTAGTCACATAGAACAAATGATGACAGCCATCACAATGATAATGCAAGTGAAAACCCATCAGAAAATTAATGGAGCAATGATCAGAAGCTTGAACTTCAAAGCTAAGCAAAAACCAAACCCTATAATCATTTTCAGATGTTGCCGTAGTTCAATTCAAGCATGCAATGCACTCGCTATCACAATGCGAACCCTACAAACGCAGATAAGAACCCTCATTCCGATACCCGCTTCGAAATACCTAAACTCTCAGATCTCAATGAACCCAAAAAAACCCAAAAAAAAAAACATGTACCTGAAACCCTAACCGATCTCTGCTCCTCCTCTCTCCGCCGCCGGAGATGGATTCGGGCACCTGCAACCTCCATAGTCCGGCGGCGATTTTCCTCACCGAGACCAGCTTTCCACTTTTCCTCCGACCTCTGCGCCGCGCAGTCTCCCTCTCCGTTTCCTGATCATTACACCCAGCGTCCTCGAAATCATCATCTTCAACGCCATTGCTTCGCTCCTTGGCCTTATCTTCAACCTTCCATTTCAACAGAGGAGTCTCCGGCCGACTCCGGCGTCCGCCGAGAGCTCCGGATCTTCGCTGACGTGTCAAGCTCGGGTTTCGCGCCTTGCGTCTCGTGACGGTGGTAGCTCTGTGGATCGCCTTGAGATCTGAGCCAGTAGTTTGCACCAGCGCCTCCGAGGCCAGAAATGCCGTCGCCGGCACCGCCGTCGAGTGCAGTTTACCGGTAACCTTCATCTGACCCGTGTCGCCGCCGCCTCCATTAACGAAGCTTCAACTTTGAACACAGCCCACCAAAATCTCACAAGCAAAAGTACCAATCCCACTGCAGAATCGTGAAAGATAGAGAGAGACGAGGAGCTCGTGACGCAAGTTGCTTTGCGAGTGAAACGAGTCAGAGAATGGAGAGAAGATGTAGATCCATATAAGAGTATATTTGTACAACCAAATACGTATTAGAATACGACGGTCAACGGTTAATTTGTGCCGTGAGACTGAAACGACGCCGGATCAAAGGAGGTGGTGTACACGCTATTCAAAGCGCGTGAGGAATTATGGAGGTCTCGTATGGAGGTGCGTGTTGGAGAGAGAGACGTTGTGATGTGACGATTTAAAAAATTATCACTTTTTTTCCTATCTTGAGTTAATATTATATAATTGGGATACAAAGGCTCCACGTAAGCAGGTAGCGCCATGCTATTGGAAAAAGATTATAAAAATTCGAAACAAACTAAATAAATAATATACACCAACCAAAAAAAATGTTGAATTGTAATTGTAAATTTAGGGCATTGGAAAGGTATGGAATCCTATTATCCTATTGTTCTTAGCCCTAGCAATGTAACGTTTAGTATTTCGGTTATATTAGCAATTATTTTTAGATTTAAAATTTTAACTTTATAAAAGTTTCATAACTATTTTAGATTTTATTTGAATTTTATATTCAATTTATTAAACACTAAAATATTTCTTTCTATTTTTTGGGATATCATTAATGGTTATGAAAAGCGTCCGTCCATTACTAACCCGAAACTTTAATTTAGATAACGATTTATTTAATTTAATTGGATTTGATTCTAAATAACCATGGCTAATTAGTCCCCCATAACTTTTCTTACTAAAGCATGGATTTCTAAGCACAATTCCGTTTACTGCAAATTTATGAAAATGCTATCTTTGGAAAAAAAAATCTTATGATTTTTTTTTTTATGTATTGTGACTGAGAAAGTAAAAAAAAAATAAAACTTTTTTTTTGTCGAGTTCGAATTTTCCTAAGTTGAAACAGTAACGAACAGGGCACATATTATTTTTTTTCTTAAATAATCATATGGCCATAACCATGAGGATTTTATGAATCCGTCAATTACGGTAGAATATTTTTTTGCTATTACCCGACGAAATTATAAAATTTTTACATGCATTAGTATTTATAGAATTTTTAAACATTTTCTTTTAATGCATTAACGTCGTTGCAACCTCTCTTATTGATTCCATAAATGTTTCAAATCTTTTTTTTTTAACTAACAAATGTTCGTACTCTTTTATTCAAGGAACAATCTCAGATTTACTCTTTGACATGTTGTGTCGGGAATAATAAATGATGGTATACGATATTCTTGTTATAGATATTGAAGTTATATATAGTACGAGGGCCCGGACGAAATCTGTATATATTGAACCAATAATCACATTGTAGGTTAATAATTATATATCTAATAGTTATATATCAATTAAATTAAATGTAACGTAATATTTATCAATTTAGTTGTTGAACGAAAAATAAACATAATTTGTTCATATTATTAAGTATCAGTATCTCCATAAGTTATCATTATATAGATTAAGATATCGTATTAGACCCCGCGAGAGATTGATCAAAGAGAAACTATCTATTATCGTTAAAAAAATTATATGCTAGAATATCCCACAATATATATATATATATATATTAAAAAAATTATATTATAATATGGTTATTATTAATATTTGCTTATTTTGTAGGTGCAAGAAAGCAGTAATATAAAGCCATCGTATTTATTGTTAAATCGATGGATAGCTCCTTCGAAATATATAGCAAATTATTTTGCAAGAATATAGCAAATTTCACGTGAATATATAGAGGCTAGATTTGGAAGAAAAAAAAAGATTAGCAAGATTATTTTTTAACTTTATTCACATTCATCGAAATATTAAAATTTTACTAAATTAATTTTACAAAAAAAATACAAAAAACATATATTATATCAACCTTTTTAGTTAAAAAAAATCTGAAATAAGAACTTTTAATTTAGCCAAGCGGTTAAACAGCATATGCTTCATAATCTCGCTGATTAGTAGAATGTACTCCGAAACAAAAACAGGCATAGATTTACCCTGATTTTATTTCTTGTATTTAATAATAATCACGAATGAAAAAGAATTACAGGTATTTAATGCGATTATTCGGATTGAAATATGCACAATTTTTATCTGTGCAATAAAGCAATAATACAAAGCAACTATATTTATTTTTAAATCAAACGGATAGCTCTGTCTAAATATAGTTTTGGAATGAAAGAGAAACATCACGTGTACACCCATACATAATTATATTTATAAATCGAGTAATACATATGATATATATATATATATATATAAACGAATATAATCACAAAGAAAACAAATGCGAAAAGGACAAGAATCTAAGGTGGAGAACCGAAATGAACATGGAAGCAACAAAGAAACTAACACAACAAAAGGGTATCCTAAGAGAAGATGTCGGCAAATCGGGTGGATGGGTTTCATCAGTCTCCACATGCTCTTCCCCCCCCCCCCCCCA